ATTTCAAAGTGCTTCGTGAATATAATAAGCCATTTGGAATTGTTTATGCATACAGGCCTCAAAAGCCAAAAACCACTAGACAAAGCAGACAAAAGCTAATCTTGGGTCATTCGAGATATGCCATTTATTCATTTGGACCGAATAAAGCCTATATTCCTCGTGTCTGGAACTTTTTGGTGTATTTTGGTGTTCTTAAAGCCCAGTGCCACAGGCCTCAAGCACCAAAATTCCTGTCTCGTGGACTTTCTATGCACGTTTTGATTCATTTTGGCTCGTTCGAGGTTATAATACCATTCTTGGGTGTTCTTCAGCCCATATAAAGGTCATGATTGCACTTAAATACACGATGAAGTATTCAGAGATTCTTTCCGAGGATGTCCAGGGTATTTCCGACTCATTTTGACTAGATAATACCTGGAAGGTTATTCTTCAGTATCACCTGGGCATACAGTGTATTCTTACCTAGGGTCATCAAAGTTTAGAAGTGAATTGTTAAGTGACTCAAAATTCCTAATGATTCGAAAAGCACCTTGAGCTTGCATGTGAATCACCCTGATAATTCAGTGACTGTGTCGCATTTCGAAATTGTTTTGACTCGAAATATCTGTTATGACTGTTTACGGCCACAAGTCACTCATATACATCGATATGAGTGTGAAACCACCACATCTTGAGGTTTGATTACTCTAAAAGTCAACAAACGATGATTAATCGCCCTGAATCACACACATTTTGTATTTTAGGTATGAATGTACTTAAATTCGAGGACTTTTGACTCGAAATGGAACGGAATGACACAGATATGATAGTGAATAGATAGTTCTGCGCCGTTTTAAGGTATTTTTGACTCGAAATGTCAATGAAATGACGCAGGAATACCTTGAGAGTACCTTGAATGACACAGAATAGATAAAAGTCTTTATGAATGTGTATGACTTCGAGGCAATTTTGGACTCGAATGACATGTTTCCTAGCGTCATTTCCAGTGTTCAATTGTGCTTATATACGATCGGTTCTGCTCCTTCTGTAGCTCTTCTTTTCTCGTCGACAATAAGCTGTACCAAAACACTTACCACATTTCTCAAGCATACCACACAAGATCTTTACAAGAACACGCCTGCCTCTTACTACAAAAGTCCTATGTAAGACAGCATCAGTGGCATACAACTACACCATAGATTGAGAGCTCTACCTCTACATAGCAGCCCCTTCGTTGCCTGTTTTTATGAGCATTCTAGTGCGTTTCACCCTTCATTCGAGCTCCTGAAATCACTGTTTATTTTTTTTCTTGATCGAATGCAGGCTTCGGTAAGTCACACTACCTATAATGTATGAGTTTGAAACCTAAATGATGGCAGCAACTTAGCATCAGACGTCGCATGCCCCTGATATCTGATCGATATTTATACATTCAAGGTATTTGACATGTTCTAATCTCAACCATGTATCAATGGTAGCTGACAAATATCAATAGCATGTCGAGTTATGATCAATCTCCTTTTCGCATTGGTGATTATACATTCGAAGGCATCGAATATCCACATTATCAAGATATAAACGGATGTCAGTATATCATAAGAAATGGCCAAGCGTTTGTTACCGCGGAACCTCAAGAAGTCAGCCACTATGAATCTCAGACCCAAGCTTCTTTCGTCCGTAACGTCGCACCAAGCTGGAGCCCAAGTCCCAAAGGTAAAGAGCCAGCATCTAGTGATACTTTCGCTACGGAGCAAGGAAGCCAGTCCTACAGCTCAGGAGCCGGCTACAACTCCGCTCCAGCTTATAGCCCTACATACTGTACGACGGGTGGACTAAGCACGACGCCAACTTATATGGGTGCAGCTCCTACATTCGACAACCTTCCACCGACTTCTCAATCAAATAATCCTTATCTTGTCACAGAATCATTCTATAATTCGGATGGAAAACCACCAGGCTACAATCCTCCCGCAGCCAATGCAGATTTCGCCTCAGACTATACTTCTACTTCTACAAAATGCAGTTATCTACTACCGGTGCCTGCCCCCCATTCATATTATGCCTCTCCAGATGCAGACAAGAGGCCAGACATGATACGGTGTAATGCCCCTTGCAAAAGAACAAAGCTCATATGTAGTTACCACGAGGGAAAATATCAGTACGGTTACGAATGTATATCAAAGATCTATCAGCGGGATGCTCTTGGGCAATACATAAAAGGCCTTGACGGATTGCCAGCGGCCGTCCAAGTCGAATACTCCAATGGAAGAATAGGAGATCAGATTTGCCAAAATCCAGCGGTTAGTCAAAAGTTCTTCTGCCATGAATGCCGCCCAATGTGGTTGCCATGCTATTATGGATTGACACATGATCGTACGTGGGGATGCAAGGATTCTGCGCAGCCAGAGTTTCCATGGGATAAAAATGTCAGCTGCATCCAGCACTTTGAAATCACGAGCTTTTTACCTTACAAGAATGAACTACCGCCAAACACATTTGGAAATCCAGAAGATCATGAGAAGTCGGTCAAAAATCCCGCTCCATCGGGTCCTTCTAGAAGCTCGGGTAAATCGGGACGCTCGAGAGGGAGCTACAACACTGAAACACGTTCTTATCCTCAAAGAGAGAATGCGGTGAATAGGGACGGTGTCCCCCTAGAGAGTCCAAGACAAGATTCCCATAGATTACGACAACAGACGCGTCAAAGAGAAGCAGAGATAAATCGCGAAGCGGATGAAAATGAAGCCAGGGAGAATGAACGGCGAGACAAGGATACGAAAGCGGAGCAGGAAAACTTGAGAAGGCATACTCAAGCGTTTGAGAGCATTTGGAAGCCAGAACGAAAAAGAAGATCACACAAATAGTACACTCGCCAGTTGAAATTAGTCCGTTGCTTTACTAAATACAAAAAAAATCGTTGCTTTTTATATCTCTTCCCCTCTTTGAATAACACTCCAGTATACCCGTCACCCCCAAAAACCACTTCTTTCTTTCAGACTCGCCTTATGACCCCCCTTTCAAACCCCATTCTTCTCAGTAAACCCACCCACCAGAATCTTCACCTTAAACACCAGTGCTTGATTATCAAGATTATATCCACTCCCATCACTGTACGCGAACTTTCCTCCCTCCAAATACCCATCTTGCGTGATAAAATCGTTATCACTCAGACTGAAAATATACTATATCAATCCTTCATTAGCAAATATCCCTATCTCCCTTTCCCCAAGGAACAAAACTTACCCATTCCCCATCCGCACCCTCCTTCCCATCAACAGGCACCACAGCAATACTCTCCCACTTCTCATTCAACAATCCTTTATCCGTTTTCCCACCATTATGTACTCCAAATCTCTTCAACTCATCATTATCATTAACATCCAACCACGCACAATAGGTTGCCGTTTTAATTCCGCTCCCTAGAACCCCCGTCGAGCTCGCAATCGCACAACTAGTACAATCGTATTTCGCCCCCTTAATATTCGTCGCGTTGCTAATATCGAAAATGTCTATCTGTCTATAAATACTCTCCGTGCTATCCTGTCCATTTCCTGACCCCGAATCTCTCGCCAGAACCAAGAATTGTCCATTAGGTAACGCATGAATTTCAGACTGCGCAGCTACTTTTGGGTTTTTACTAGCTTTAGCTGTTGGGTCTGTCCATAAAGGAAGAGGGACCACATATTCACTCAAATACAATGGGTTTCCCGGGTCTGAGATATCGTATGAGAGGAAACGGCTATAGCGTTCCGTTTGAGATTTCAAACCGCCTTCCTGATTATTTGCTGCTTGGAGAAGTGTGTAGAGAGTTTTTCCATCGGCAGATATACTGAGACCCTCGAATCCATGGTTATTATCTCTACCAGTAGGATTATCGGCAGGTGAGACGTCATCGCCAGAACCTTGGTCGGGATAATGGTAGGGAGAGTCAGCGGAGAAAGATTCGCTGCCATTACGCATGGGAATGAAGGCATCTGGTGGTCGTATGGCGGATGTCATTGTGCCGGTAGAGTTAAAGTGGTAAATATAGGGACCCTAGTGGATAGTTAGACAAGGTGAAACATTAGGAGACAGGGGAAACATACATATTCATCACTAACCCACCACCCTCCAGCTCCATCCAACACCAATCCCTCAGCATCAACCGATACCCTCCTCCCTCCCGTCCCGTTTCCTCCGAATCCATCACCCGTATACGTCGCCACGGGCAAATCTGGAAACCCCGCATAACTCAAATGACCCGATCCATCCGCGTCCAGCCCTGTCGTTGGCGTCCCATCCGGTCCAGAAAACAGAACCGTGTCAGTATATTTGAACCACAAATTATTTCCTGAAGGGCTTTTCACTGTCGCATTAGCCGCTGGAGTGAAAACGATGTCGAATTTATGAACCCGGGTTTGAAAGTTTAGGGTGCCTTCTGTATTCCTGTTATGTCTGTTAGAACTCTCAATCAACCTGCTTCCCCAAATACCTCAAGTAACTCAGCCGTAACTCCAGGAACGATAGATAAGTGGTAGATTAAGGGGGAAAAGGGAACTGAAATGCAACGAAACCATCCCCTATCAGGCAAGGCCCACAAAACCCCCGTATAACTACCATTCTCTAACTTCTCCCAACTCTTTGTGTCAATCGCGATCGCACTCCCAATCCCGCCAATTGTGTCCCCGAATTTATCACGTGCAGTACCTGGAATATATCCATAGCCTCCTAGTGCCTGATACGTATATGTGTTTCCATTACATATAGTTTGATTAACGTATGAATTGCTTTGAGCTGCTGCCAGCCCAAAGAGAGGGGTCACTACGAGGAACTTTCTTAAAGACATCACTAGAAATCTTATCAACAGTACCAATGCCAACAAGAAAAGAAGTAAAGATACACAGGAACATTGTAAAGATCGCGGGGTAACATGGAGAACATATATTCCTTGCTCCGGGTGAAGCGGGTGCCAATATACACGAAATAAATTGACGATCAAAGGATCCGTATTGCCACCGGAAAACCGACCAATGAATGATGCAACGTGCCTGAAGTTGAAGATGCGGAAGCTTCTTAGCTTTCTTACCCCAGGTACAATTTTCCAGATGGTTGCACTGAAGGATGAACTAATGACGAAGATTATGCAAGAAGGGAAGGTCACCATGACTTGTGGTTAAATACATGCACGTTGTAGCGTTGAGAGTCTTGATTGGCCAGCTTACTCTGACTGGGATATTTGCCATGGAGTAACCTGTGCAATGCATATCAGTATGAAAAATACCTACCAAGTACTTTATGAAGAATTGTCACATTAAAAAATTCATAATTCCTTGATGCCATATTTGTGATATCTGAAAATGCTTCTGCATTTCTTTCATATGACGTATCTCATTCCCATTTCATTTCGCTCAATGCCTTAAAAATTGCTCAAACTTCCTCCACCAACTGACACATGCAGAATGTGCCTCCTAAATTCAAAGGTATCGAGAAATGAAAAATTGCTTCGCAAATGCCTATTGTGTATCGTCTCACGATGTTCATCGGAGAATTGAATCTAAACAGAAAATTACTTTTTTAGATAACAATATCATTCTGATCCTTCGTAGTAACTCCACGTAGGTAGCGAAATTGCTCCTAAGTATGTGATATCATTGGGCGAAAAAGTAAAAGGGAAAAATCATTATCCAGATCGGACACCAGTTTGTCCTGCTAGATGTATATGGAAGTTGTTTAGAGATCATAAACATCCCAACCATCAAGTTTATTGGCATTGTAGTTGATTCGGCGTTTTTGATCTGAGGGTGGGTTTTCGGGTCGTGCAAAGTCGATCCGTAGCTCCTCGTCAAGTCACAACTCATCTTCATCGTCGAGTTCCGCAGGCTTAATGAGTCCTCCGACCTTGGACAGACGTTCGCGTTCTGCGGCCTTGGCATCTCTTTCGGCTGTCTCTTTCTCCTCAGCGTATAGCTCGGTGTTGTCCCCAGCAAACTCCTTCAACGAGATTAAGAAATCCCGTAAGTTAAGTCTGAATCGATCTGCAGAATGATTCAGAGTGAAGAGACCCTCAACGAAGGCTTGGATTTGAGGTCTAAAATGGATTAGTAAGGTATACTGATAGAGATAAGGGCAATGACTTACGCTTGAAGGTTAGGGAAGGCATTCTGCAACAAACTAGCCACGAAGTTTGTAAGGAAATCCTTGTTGCTTGTGTTTGGTGGCGCTTGGTCCTGGACATAGATAGGCATTTGAATCTTTGGCGCGGTACCGTCAGCTGGGTGAACAAAGTAAAACATTCTTGCCAACAAAGTTGCTTGTGACTTGAATCCAGCTTTGTGATCGGTATCGGTGAGTACAAAGAATACATCCTGGAGGATTGGGACGAAGAATTGCTGGAAGAAAGCACTAGACGTGGCAGGGTCCGTTTCTGCAATGTTGGTGATCAACTCCAAACACATGTTGAGACCGGCATGTTCAACCTCTCTATTGTCGTGCTTACTAGCCCACATGCAAGAATCGATGACAAACTTGAATTGTCTGTTATCGAGTTTGAGGAGAGCTGGGAAGCAGTGAAGGTTGATTGCTCGGAGAAGGCTGAAAAATTCTACACGATGTTCTGGGAATTCCGAGAAATCCTTGTTGATCATTTCCAGAGTGCATTCGAACACATTTGACATAATGTTTGGCACTTGATCTTCCATGAGGCCCTATATTAGATGTTAGTAAGTGCTGGATGCATCTCCAAGATAAGGAGGCTAAGATAAGAAAGGGTATGCACCACTGAATATTTCGAGCGATATGGGGTCCAACGTACAGAAAGTTTGGTTATGATAACAGACATGACCTTGAGAACTTCGGCATCACGTGCACCTGGAACATTACGGTTGTAATCAATCAGGACCGCTTCAAGAAGGTTTGGAACAATGTTGGTTCGAACCATCTCAAGATCATCGGATTTCTCAACGAACGTTTCAATGAGCTTGAGAATCTCCTTCTTGATAGTTCTTAGACCTCGAACTCTGGGCATCTTGGTGGCAATTTCACCTATTCATAATTAGTGTCAAGAATCGTAAACACGTTATGAGAGAACAACTTACCCTCACTTGCAACGGCTTCAGAAATCATTGTGCTAGTAGCCTTGTACATGGACAACATATCCAGGTAAATGCGTCCAATTTGAGGATAGAAGTAGCTTCCGATGGAGGAACAAGCAGACACGTTAGTCTTCATGACATTGCCAATGACCTTGATGGTGTCTGCGTCTTGAAGAATTTGGGGGTTAGTGTTTGCTTGGGCAATGATGGCATCCCAAGCAGCGTTTGGATATGACATCAACTCAGCAATGAGTCTTTCTTGTGAATTCTTCTGTGGTTGAGCTGCAATCATGTAACCACATGCCTCGTAGAAAGTGTGTACTTGCTGTGGGGATAGATCACAAGTAATCTTACGCATAGTTCTGACGATTTCCTCGATAAATGGCTCAGACTCGCCAGGTTGTAAAGCAACAAAATGACGTTTGCACTGTCTGGCAATCTTGATGAAAGTATCACACGCCATGTCTTGAACACCCTCGTGGGACTCGTGCATGAACTCGAATAATTTGTTGACGACGGTCTTCAGGAACTTCCAGTGAGCCTTCAAGAAACGTGGATATTGACCAACAATATACATAATGTTACTAGCAACCACGGCTTTGTTGTCCTTTCCTCGTTTCATCTCAGTCAACCCGAGCAAATCCTTGATGACAGTGACCAAGAAACGTTTCTCAGTCTCTTCGTTCATTGCAAGGGAGATGGAACCGATAGCCCAGCACAATGTGTTACAATTGGCCCATGACCATTCGGTACCATCGACTTGTCGAGATAGCTTCTCAGTCATGATGTTCTCGGTGTCGACTACATCCAAATGGGTAAGATAAACCAAGCACTCTCTGGTTGTCTTGTACAACTGAATGGTGTCGCTCTCCTTGACGAATTCACGAACAATCTCTCCCTCATCGTTCTCAACAATCAAAACTTCCTCTGGTCTGACCATCTTTTCAATCATGACCACTCGCAAGTTCGAAAGTACTTCGTTGTACTTGTGCTTTCTGAGAGGATAGTTGGCGAGCAGACTTGGGTTGGGAGCACCGGGACTCGAAATGCCGCCGACGCCCATTCCGACGAGAGGGTTGACGTCTCCAATGGGTAGCGACTGTTGTTCATCGTACAATTCCTGGACCAGTCTAGTCCAGTATTCTAAGCAAATCTTGAAGATCTCTCGGTCCTCGATTTGAGAAATTCGAATAAGGTAGAAGTGGCCGTGTGTGAGGAAATCACGGTTCGGTAGGTTCTCAATGAGCTATTGGAATAATTAGAATGCATCGAGGAAGACTAAACGAGTAACAGAAAACTTACAGTAAGATGGGAAGAGAAAAAGTTACACAAGAAAAGGGCCAAATTCTGGATAAACTCTTGGTCCTTGGAGTTACTCGAATTGTAAGTACTCTTGAGGTCGAGAGTCAAAGGAATAATCTTGGAAATTGTGGTCAAAACTTCGGTGAACATTTGAACCAATTTCTCGTCGTAGTTGTTCCCAGTACCAGTTTGGAGTCCTCCAATCTCTGTCAAGCACTTTAATGTGACATTTCTGAATTCGGGCATCTCCAAAAATCGTTCTCTAAGAGTATCGATAACGGTCGTCTCAAAGATATAACCAAGCGGAATCCAGTTGAAGAATCGAAGAAGAGTCTCGAGGGTAGCCTTAATCAAACTTTCTTGAGTGGCGCTGTTCAAGACTTCGTTACAAAGTTGGAAGATGGAGGAAAACTCTGCACACATCGTCGTCTTCAAGTTCTTCGTCTTTGCGGAAGTCATCTGGTCCGCCGAGTAATCGAAAACTTCCTCCGATAACAATCTCAAAATCGACATATTATTCTCGCATATCGATAAACTTGTGTGGCAGGAGGATATGATCTCGTTGATGAAAGTAGGCCAGTTGTGAGGCCATTCTTGCTTCAAGATGGAAACGAGGACGAGATTCAACTTGTTCAAGAGGACTCTTTGGGACCTCAGAGACTCTTCCGATCCGGAACACTGTATGATGAAACCAACGACGAAATTCCGAATACCTAGAACAAGTCATTATAGCGTTCTTCGTTAAGGAGAGTAACAGAATCTATTTACCTTGGCACTGCTCTCTGGGCAGAACCTTCCACCTTGTCATGATAACATGATCTAATACTTGCAAACCCAAATCTGATAATTTGTCAGCGAAACAGCATAGAGAGGGCGTTAAGGAACCTTGACCGACATTTGGCTTGCGGATATGTAGACTCTTGTAATATCTTATCAACTAATAACCACGCATCTGGATCCTCCTTGAACTATATAGTATATCAGTATCGATGGCGATATGGAACGAGAAAGATTTTCGGCGCATGAAGAGGTCGTACCTGGTTCATTGCAGCCTGAGCGGCTTTTTGCTACGGAACAAACGCGTCAGTAAAGATGTTCCGGTATGAATAGATTCATTTGGGTATATGATATATACTCACAGCCTCACCGCGACCTTCATAGAAAGTCTTGACGGTCGCGTCAAGCTCTTCAATGGTGACAGCCATCTTTGCAGCTTGATTTAGGTATAGTACCCTATCCTGCTCTCAATAGATAAGCAATATGCTTTAATATCCTTTTGTGCAGCTTGCGCTGTTACAAGAAACTTTATTAAACGAAGTTGATGGTATGGTTGAAGAAGTTGTTCGAAAATGTCAAGTTGAAGATTGTTGGACCCAGCCGCATGTTCAAAGTGCTTTGTGCCCCACTAAGAGGAGGGATTCTCTCAGCGGGCCTTGAATACCGATCGGTAAACCAGTAGGTCAGGTGATCACACCTAAATTATCACTCTCGGAAGATTTATCCGTAAGTGAATTCCTCTGATGTGATTTATAATTCGAAGCTTGTTCAAGGGTATTCGATCAAATTACACTCAATTTCTGGCCTTGTTTTAATACGATACCTATACCGCAGTTCTTTCCCTTGTTGGAAACAGATTGATCCACCGTGGATTACGATTATTTTATAAGCAACTAACCTTACAGTAGAGTCATGGATGAGAAAACTGCATATACTCATCATACCCCTCGATTCTCTAAGCGTGGTGAGCGAGGGAGCTGTACAAAATCAATTCTCTTCCATTCTCTGTCTTTGGTGGTTAATATTCTATATTTAGTTTACCCACTCTTCCATTCTCCTGCATAAGCTCAGCACGATCCTCAAGTCTGTACATCGATGGCGAATGAGAAGCTTGATCGATGTGCCCCTCGATCCTCTCCGTCCTGGGGCTACATCTATCATTCTGCTCCTTGGCCCTCTTGTCCTGAGACTAAATATACCTCTTAATATGCCCATCTACTGTTTGTATCAATACTTCACCTCATCATCTCATATATACTCAGTAGTATATACTCGCGTACTCCTCATTCTCTATACAGTACCAGTCATTGCCAAGTTCTATGTCATATATCTCATTTCGCTCACAGCTATACATACCTGCATCATGATAACATTCATTAAATTAAGTGATCCAACATTATGAATTTGATATCATATTTAGGCATAGATTACCAGATCTTCCAAGAAGCTTCTTCCCCAAACACATTCATCAATCGAAATTCGATACATCACATTCTTGCCTATAAGTCCCGATATCTACCTATCTATTGAATGCAGGATCTTGTGGAAAGCTAAGGCTTCCGTACAATCTTCCGTGTTCCTTCTACCGAGTTGTATCTAAATTTCCGAACCAATGAGTTTGCGTTTGTTACACATGAATGTACTGTCCAATAGGGTGTCGAGGCAAGATGGTTTGTTTGTACGACCATGGAGCCTGGGGGCCTTGTAGTCTTTTCTTGCAGTTGCTTTGCCTTTCAGGTTGAATTTGGGAATAACCAGTACTATATCAATCCAATGTCAGAGCAGAGTATCAACAGCATTGCTTTACGAGTAGTGGGCCATAAGAGATGAAGATATGTCAACCACACACAAAACAAATTTGTATGCCTAGCAAACAACAAAAATTTGACAAATGCAATTATGAAAGGAAAATAAAGACAACATTGCAGCTCTAAGTTCATGGCTGTTATAACTCTTTCAATGAGATATATATCTCCAATGACCAAAAGTTATAGCAGAATCCAATCCCAGATAAATGCAGACCCAAGTGCCAAATAGTAAACAGTATATCTATATGACAACACCCAAGCCTTTTCAGCTCATTAGAGGTAAATTCTCCAAGACAAGACCAATTTATACCTATGAGGCCCAAGACTAGACAAATCTAGAAACATAGGTAATGTCAGCGGGATGTTCAAAAACGCAGTGACTTGAGGACAATTAATTGAGAACATGCATGGATATAATTTTCAACAAAAATCAATCCTCCACTTCAACACCCCAAATCCACCACCCAGCTTCTTACCAATAAAATAAAAAACAAAACAAACACAAACTTCCATACACAAATCCTTCTCTCCCAAGACTTTCCACTCACTTGTATATTGATAGGTATCTCCTCTCCTCCCTTCTCATCTTCTCCCACTCATACATCTAAAAATCACATATACCTGCCCCTCAGAACTACACTTACACATACAATTCCACATACAATTCCACATCTTCCATACACATTACACATTACATATTACATATTACATATTACATATTACATATTACATATTACATATTACATATTACATATTACATATTACATATTACATATTACATATTACATATTACATATTACATATTACATATTACATATTACATAGATACATAAATCCCCAGAAACACATCCCCTTCTCTCAGATTTCTCTAACTAAAAAGAAGTACCTATATAAGATTAAATTCGAGAAACCGGATAATTTCCACGTCTACATACTCTACCTTCCCAGTCTCTAGAATCTCCGTTTTCTAATAGGGAATTTATAGAATATATCTACCTATCTACTAGGTAAGTAGGTAGATATATCAAGAATACATACATACTTCGTACACAAACCCTTGAATGTATTTCCCAACCAAAGCAATCACTACCGGAGTACATATGCACTCTGAACTTATCATTTCTACCGTATCCCCATTCTTCCACTCACACATCTCCCACCCACACATTCTGAATCAATCCACGAAGACACTTTTTCCTGCTCCTCCCTTTTCTCTGCTTCAATCTCTTGATCCCTAGTAGAAAATCAATATTATGTATTTTCTATGCCTTTATCCTCATCCCCTCCATCCCCTCTCTCCATCCCCTCTCTCCATCCCCTCTCTCCATCCCCTCTCTCCATCCCCTCTCTCCATCCCCTCTCTCCATCCCCTCTCTCCATCCCCTCTCTCCATCCCCTCTCTCCATCCCCATCCATTCATCCATTTCCATTTCCATTTCCATTTCCATTTCCATTTCCATTTCCATTTCCATTTCCATTTCCATTTCCATTTCCATTTCCATTTCCATTTCCATTTCCATTTCCATTTCCATTTCCATTTCCATTTCCATTTCCATTTCCATTTCCATTTCCATTTCCATTTCCATTTCCATTTCCATTTCCATTTCCATTTCCATTTCCATTTCCATTTCCATTTCCATTTCCAACAAACAAACACTCACAACTTAACACAACCCAACCCAATATCACAACACCCTCCTCACAACATCCTCCCTCCAAAGAAACAAAGAAACACATAAAGAAGAGAGAGGAAGAAAGAGAAAGAAAGAGATAAAATCAATACTCAAATTGCGTTTATAATACCTACATACCTACATACCTACACATACACAATAACTCCCAATCCCCCCCCCCTCTTCCCCACAAAAAAGTCAACACTACCCTTCCATCCCACATCTTCTATTTCTGAACAGGTAATACTGACCTATCTATCTATTTATCTAATCAATACCTACCTAAAACATCCATCTCTCACCTCATCAACACATGCAAAAGTTCAAAGGTACGTGTGTATGAAGTTCCTTCGTTTATTCATTCATTTATGTACCTAGTATTTATATGCATTCATCCATGTTCATCCATTCATTTTACATAACCACCTAGACAATGATTTTTGATCTCTCCAACCTATCTGCATATTCCCATCCCCACCTAAGAGAGATTTTGAGTTCCCCTAAACGATTCCAAATATATCCACGATGATTTTCGAACAATGCTGATCTTTGCCCATAAGTAAATAGAAATTACACATCACTTCGTCTCATTCCGTTCAGCACTGCTCTCACCCTTTGCATGTTTTCAATTAACGCAACTAAGCCTTTTCATACCCTGCCTCCTTCAATCCAGTACCAAGTGCCTCGATGGCCTTCTCTACATCCCCTCTGCCCTCATTCATAACACTAACTCCCATATGTCCCACCCTAATGTACTTTGTCGCAATCTCTTTATGTAAGCCTCCTGCAAAAATGACTCCCTTCTTCACCAAATTTGGCAATAGCTCCGGAGCTTTAACACCTTCTGGGAGATAAATAGCTGTCATACCATTTGCCTGATCGGCAGGATTAGGTGCCAATTGTTTGAGCCCTAGATCCGCGACTGCCTTTTTGATTTTTTGTGATGTAGCTTTGTGTTTAGCGAAACGTTCAGAGAGAGGAATAGAGAGAATTTGAGTGAGAGAAGTGTGTAAAGCGTGGACTAGTTGAGGAGATGGAGTGGCGAAGTAGGATGGCTTTTTCGCTTCGTAGTTTTGCATTACTATTTTCCATTAGCATCTCATCGTATACACCAAAGATGCAAATGTCAAACTTACTTGGCAACCAATTCTTGAACGAAGCAAAATATGATCCTGGAGGAGTCTTTCTAGCCTTGAATGTCTCAATCGCTCTACCACTATAGTATGAAATTGAAAGACCAGCTGGACAACCAATCGCCTTCTGACTCGCCGTAATGACAGCATCCAAACCCCAACTATCAAATTCAATCTCCTCACATCCCACACTACAAACACCATCTACCACAACCAACGTCTCAGGAGAAACTCGATGAACAAGCTCACTCAATTTCTTCAACTCACTCAAAACTCCCGTCGAAGTATCCACATGAGTGACCGTGATCAACTTATATTTCTTCTCCTTCAATGCCTTTTCAATCTCATCCAATTGAGGTCTTTCCCCAATCTTCGCCTTCAATTGTGTGGGTTTGACTCCATAAGTTTCAAAACAATCCGCGAACGAATCTGCAAAATAGCCAGTATGGAGAACCAAGACCTCATCACCTGGTTCTGCCAAATTTGCAGCCACGAGATCCCATCCAAGAGTACCGGAACCAGAAATGACGAGGGGTTGGGAAGAGGGATCGGTAGATTGGAAGAGCTTGCGCAGCATAGAGAGAGTTTCGCCGAAGACTGCTACAAATGGAGCGCTGACGTGACTTTCACTATTTTATTTGAGGATTTGTTAGTGATATATTCTATTTTAAGGCTCAAATCAATTTGGTGGTAATGATAGGTAAATACATACCTATAATGGCTCATAGACTGCAAGACAGCATCATCAAACTCGATTGGGCCCGGAATGAGCAAAGTAGGGTGAGCTTGTTGAGTCGACATTTTGATATTATTTTCTTGAACTTGCGTAGAATTACTGAAGCTTCTCGATGGTGTTGTAGATACCGAATTGGTAGAGCTGTCAAGTAAATTGGGATTTATCTGTCGTGCAATAGCAGACAGTCTAGCTTGAGGAGCCACGATTTGAGGAATGGCGGGGTAAAACACCCGTCTGAAAGCCAGCTTGAAAATAGTTCCGTTCCGTTATTATCCGATTGGACCAATAATTGAAGCTCTATTAGACAAGAATGAGTGGTCTTGGTAAGAAAATGCTTATGTTTGGGTGCTACAATCACTCGGAGTAATGGCAATGAGGAATGACTTTGGGATTTATTTACCAAAAGAGGCGGTGATGACCGTCAATTGTTGCATAAATACTAACAGCTCGTTTCATAACTTCATAAACTTTATAAAAACGCATAACCTTCCCACCTATTTTACTCCGAGGTCGGGGGTTTCTTCGGGGACTTCCTATAATAGCTTCATAACCTCAAAATATGTATTACCATCAAACAACAAGAGAAGAGCATTCTATTTGATATCACTTTCCCTTCCAATCCAAAAGTACCTATCCATTGCTATCTATGCGTGCTGTGTAGCTTGTGATATATGGATAACACACGATGAACTCCTTCCAATGCTTTTTTTCTTTTCACCATACCACATACACTACCATGCTATACTAATCGTAACATTCCTTCCTTCTCCCTTCCCATTCCATTTCATTCATATCCTTTTCTTCCACTGTACCACTTTCATGTACCACTTTTCTTCATACATAATTACAGTAGAGTGAGATTCCCCAAACATATGTACCATACCCATATATACACTTCATTCCTTCAAATCATGCCCTTTCTCAATCATCTCTACTTCTTCCTCGTCTGAAAGACCTTCTTAACCTTCGTCCTAAGAGGTTTCGCCGGTTGAGCCGCATGTTTCACCGCCGCGATCTTCTTTGCTTCCTTAGTCGTTCTCTTCCCGATATCCCATCCCCAACCCCTCAGCGTCCTCACAACCTTCGGGGTCACCGCCGCCGTCAACGGCACTCTAATAAAAATAAACGATTTATGGATCGCGTAAGCGAGAGCCAGTTGAGTACCTAAACTAGCATCCCTTTTATTGCGCTCTTCTGCTTCTTCTACACCCCATCCTGCCATTTCTACTCCGTCGCCCAGCTTGCCGGATCCGGTAACATCGTGTGAGGCTTTTTGCATGGCGACACGCCATTCGTGGAAAGTGGTTTTGATGGATTCGGGGATTATGGATTTGATGGAGGAGGTTATTGTGTGTTCCCATTCACCTATGGTAGTGTGTTAGCCGGCCACTTGGACTGGGCTTTGGATAAAAATAAGACAGAAGATAGACCTTCGTCTGAACTATTCATTCATGGGATATAGAATAAAACTCCCGCGCATATGCAATTCCCAATATAACCACCCAACTCAATTCGAAAGAAAAAAAGAGACATCTCACTTACCAATTCTATCCGTTCCCAGCGTCCTGACTAACAAATAGCAAAATGGAAAATCCGCCGCAGATAAAAAGATATAGACTCCCACCACACTCCACCCATATTCTCTACTCAATTTCTTCATTCTCCCTGATAGACTGGTATCATCCCCCAAATTTTCAGGCTTTGCTTCTCCATTCCTCCTCGGTCTTGAATTGTGAAAGTATCTATTTGTTCTTGTGCGAAGACGTTGGAATAATGTTTCCGAAGACGGTCTCGGATTCGAGGAAAATGTAAAATTGGTAGTTTGCGAACGGGATTTTGAGCGGAGAGAATTTATAGGAGTAGAGGTTAATGTAGTTATAGGTCGTTGTGGCAGGTTGCGCAGAATAGCTGATCTTGTAGATGTCGTATTTTGAATCGTAGTCCGAGAAGCTGTGATGAACTGGCGCATTCCCCCAGCCCTCAGTCCTGATATCGTTGCGCGGAACATACTTGCGCTTGGTGATTTCTCCTACCGCAATATGAATCGGATGATATGTTGTTTTTTCTTTCACCCTCCTGTAACTACCATCTAAATTCCAAAGTCGTACTCAATCGCGTTCGTTCTTCCTCTTCAAATATCCTCGCAATCTCGAAATGAGGGGTCCCAACAACCGGATTCGTTTACTATGTCCGGAAAATCCGCTCGCAAGTGCTGATTCCTGTATAATTGACTTCGTAATAAGCTGACAGGTCAATTAATAATCTCAGACTCTCATTCCTTCCTGCAGTTCAGTAATTCATCGCAATGTTTCGATTAACATGCGCTCTTAAAATCGTGGTTCATTCAATCCGTCGCTATATTCCACTAAAGTTTTGATGAGGGACTAGCCTACCAAAATTTGAGACGGCAAATTCCTTCCACGTTTTTGACAAGGGAAGCTCCCGAATGAGCGCATGATGATGTAAAAGAATTACACATTACGGTGTTCTGAGAGTACTAGTTATGCAAACAAGCGGCTCAATTCTGTCTCTTATGAAATTTGTAAGTCTTACATAATGACTTACGAAATTATATTCGTCCCGACGTCTTTTACTAGATGAGCATTTCATACCAAGGGTTGTGAATACCTTGTATGTATCTTGTCTTTAACTAAAGAAGTAGCAAACGCCGCGCCGGCTTACCACATATTCATGGTTGGTAGTCGGGAGATGTGAAGACAGAATGTCTAGATTATTTCATGCTAGGTAATTCACATATTCGAGCGCAGCGAGCCATGGGGTTTTGGGGGCCTGCCCCCATATTGATTTCCAAAGAGAGGAACGGCAATTGGCAATAGGGGAGCCGAAGTGGTAAGGAAAGTGTGTTGATAGTACAGTGCTTATTGAAGCACTCCTACCCCCGCAACGTCAGCAAACAGCAACGAAGTCTCGACATTTTTATGCTCTGATCGTCGAAGTGAGAAAACCGGGGTAAGTTGGAGAATGCTGAGTTTGATCTCATGATTAAATATACTTTGTCTATCGAACAGAAGAGGAAGTTGATCATAGAAGGTGATGTTTCAGTAGTAAGAAATAGAAAATTTATCACTGGGAGATGGAAAATTCACCGAAGAGCATATTTGGAGACTAAAGTTTTAAAGGTAATCAAATCAATTCGATTACAATGGTTTAAACAGTCGATATGGACAATAGAAGCTATATTTACAAAAAAAACCTGAACACTGAGCGCAATCTCCTCCAACACCGCCCCCTTTCCCCTTCTATATTGTTTGAACAAACCCTTTGCAGGGCTTATTCATCAGGGTGTTAAGATACTTAACACTTGACACCAGATGGGACACCAGCGCACTTGGAGGAGGTCTTACCACCGGTAACATTGACATCCCAGGTCCATCCAGAGCACTTGGCGCAAAGAACGTAGACGTTGGTAGCACTGGAAGAGACGGTACCCTTGACGTTGGAGAAAGTGACATTAGTGATGGGGACACCGGCAGTTGGCTTGCCGGTTGGGGAACCGTTCTGGTAATCTTGTTGAACAACAACACCGTAGGATGTAATGCCGGAGAGGGTGATGTCCTTGTAGGTAACGCCGGAGACTGATCCAGTGGCACCAGAAACGGTCTTGATGCGGACACCGTTGGCAGAGTTCTTAACAGTGGAGGATTCAATGATGATATCGGAGACAGTGTTGTCGGAACGTCCACCGACAGATCCGATGGAGAGACCGTGACCACCGGAACAGGTTCCACCGGTGAAGGTGATACCAGTACCGGAGTTGATAGCGAGACAGTCATCTTGGTTTTGAACGTTGGCACCGGAGATGGTGATGTCGCTGGAGGAGCCAACATCGAAAGCATCGGTGTTGTGTCCGAGGGAGGTACCGGCAGAGTTGTCAATGTTGATGTTGGAGAGAGTAAGACCGGAAGCACCGTTGATGGAGAAGACTTGAACTGGGGAGTTCAAGATGTTGATACCATCAATGACGGATTTACCCTTCAAGGAGTGGGCGTAGAAGAACTTTGGCTTGGTCTTTCCACCGTTGGTTCCCTTACCATCCCAGTACTTGGCTCCTTGTCCATCGAGCTTGCTGCCAGCGGCACCCTTGACAGTAATGTCAGTTCCGGAGACAGAGAAGAGAGGACCGGACCATTCTTCGTAACCGAAGGTGGTGGTACCCTCGAAGATGACCTGGGTACCCGAGTTGAGACCAGTCAAGTCAAGAGTAGTACCGGATGGGACAGAGAGGGCGCTGAGGACGATGGTGGCGCAGGAAGCCTTGGACTTGGAGGCGGCGGCTGCACCAGCAGCTCCGGAGAAGGTACAGGCGGCGGCACGGTTCTCGATAGCAGCGAGAGCATCAGCTGGGTTTGGGGCTGCGGTTGGTGCTGGTGCTGGAGCAGCAGCGACGATTGCGCCCAGCGCAAGGAGGCTCGAGGCCATGGAGAGAATTTGAACCATATTGGCTAGTAGTGTAAAAGAATGTAAGTTTAAAGAGTGAATGTACTAGACAGTATGGAAAAGAATGTAAGTGATGATGAGATGAGGAATGAAAAGAAGGCGTTTGAAGCTTCCTTATATATGTGAATACATGATGATTGAAATTCGGAGAAGCATCAAAGAAGTGGAACCCGGTTGAATCCCGCCGTCGGATGTTGATGCGAGATGTCAACGGCGGTAAACCTAACCCGCGGCGAGCCAAAGTATCTATCATGCTATGGTACGTTTTTGGTCAAGGTCCGCATTCTGATTACAGCAATCCTTGGAACATCATCAAGCACAAGCTTTCAAAAAAGGAGAGATTGCCCGTGGAGTAGCAAATCTCACCACTTTCTCATTGAATGGCACACACAGCAAGGGGGAACGAAAGGCTTGGAACATGAAACGAAGCAAAAGAAGCTTTCAACAAGCATAAGAAGCAATCTTGGCTAGACCCTCCTGTATATTAAAATATCATCCCGAAGTAATTTCGAAGTTCCGTTACTCCATAATTACTTGTCAAGGTGATGAGATTGAAGCTCTTCTAGACTACTACCAGAGTACAATACCTCAATTGGTGTGACTAATAAACAACTAACCCAAAAAGTGATGCGGCGAAGTTGTTGGATGTTTTGAGTTGATGAAATGTCAATAAATGACAGGATGCGCTAGAAATTTGATGGAAGTGTAGAAGGATATGATTGGTGTGGTTAGGAACCCCTGAGATTCTAATTGGTGGTTTTGCGAGGTAGTACCATTCAGTACGGAGCATCGTAGGGATTAATGCTTTTGGAATTGGAAATCTGATAATTGAAAGAAGGTGGATCACCAGCTCGCATTACAGGAGATAAAATGACTACCAAGGTGGCTTTTTTTTCATCCCACAAAGTTCTTCCGTCCAATGATTGAGATGAAAGTGGACAGGTGCATGAACCCACGTTTCATCATCACAGGGAATCATTCTTTTTTGTTGGTACATCAGCCACACTTTCCATACTAATCGTACCCGGTGGACCTTTCGGACTTTGCTAACCATCTTCACTAAGATTAAGGTACGATAACCGATCGGAAGTGCAACATTCTGAACTTAAAGGCCTGGTTAATGAGAAGTTCAGGTTAATTCTTCATCTTACTCGAGGATACGCAAACACGTGAGCTACACGGCGGGAAAACAACTAGGTGACTAGGTTCAACGGTCGTTAGAATTGTGATTAGAATGTCACTCATCGTATCTGATACGGCCCGCGGGTGATAAAATGTAAAATTAATATGTACTTTATCTATACCAAAGTTTAAACATTCCGTGATATACTTTCTAAACTCTCAGTGGTGCACAATCTAACCCTCCGGCTCCAGCTCCATATTCTGAAATGATATCGCAACAGTAAACCTTACCCCCATCTTCAAGACATCAGGGGACTCCCCGATGCTATTGACCTGTCATTGCGAGCCTGGTCTGGTCTGTTCTGTTCTGTACGCTCCACGTTGGACGTCATACAAAAAAACAGAAAGATATATCTACACAGAACAACACTTACGTTTCTCTGCGTCTACATGCAGTACCAAGATCTCCCCGACGCTGCCGGCAGGCGAATAAAGATTCTCGGCGTTGCTTGTTTACCGCCTCCAAGTGATCCCAATTCATATAAATCGACTTGGCTCCCCAATACCCCTATTGGCATCGCATAAGCTTTTGCTAAGTTGTTGCGAGCAACAAGAGATTAATCTATACATGCAAGAATACCCATTGAATAATATATTAAAACTCCGCAATAGTCCGCACGTGTCCCGCAACGGCATTATAACATGATTGAACAAATCAGATTGTAAATCATTTCGGATTTCGCAAGGTGCATCACGCCCTCTCGGCAAATAGACAGAAAGTGGTGCGAGAGTGGATTTGTTGGGGGAACATGGAACGACTAGAAATTTCTTGGAAACTTGGTTCATCAATTCGCAGGAAAAATTAATTTCATGCTCTTCTGATTACGATTTTCAATCTGTATATCGGTATTGTTCTTTATTATCCCTCTCGTAATCATCAAAAGATCGAATGATGTCTCAATGTATAAAATAGGAGTTTGTCATTGGTGGCCTTATATATCATTCCACATGATTCATCGTCCATTTAAAGTGTTTACATTCTATTTTACTTTTTTAAAAGTCTAGAATGCGCCGAATGGTCTGTCCGTGCATCTACTCAATCTCTCACTCCCTTGCAATTGAATTCAGGTCAGGGGGAGTACGACTCGTCTAGACTTTACTTGTAAGGGTTCTGGAACCTACTTACCGCACCCCTGTGACAAATGCAACAAAATCCCTGCAAAATTCATATTTTTCTATATAAACTAAAATACTATATAATTAATTCAGTTATCGATATTAAATTACAAAAACTTAATGATGAGTAATCTGAATCATAATATATATATAAAAATTTCTACCTTATTTTTAAATATTTTTGTTAAAAAGTTATATAAGCTTTTAATCAAAAAATTCAGAATTTTTGACTTGTAACGCTTTTCCTATATAAAATAAGCAAATTTTTCGAACTTTTTTGAATTTTCAACTTTAACCCTTCAAAAATACTATTATAAAAATATTCAAAAATAAATAATATATTTTTTCGAATACTTTCAACAATTCTAAATCTTTTTATAATATAATTCTTAATTTTATCTTTTATTATAATAAATAAACTAGGATATGAAAAGATGAATAATCTTGTAATTTAGCCGGAAAAGCGTTACATGTGCGCTGAGCAGGGGCCAGAACTCTTATTTCCATTGGCGAGAGGCGTTTCATGTTTCTACAATTTTGGTGAAGAAGGGCTTTCATGACGGATAGCTTGTTTCGTAGATCAGATGATCAAGCAGCCAAGTAGCAAAACTTTACTTGAACCATTGTTTGTGTTTATCTGATAAAAATATCCAGAAATAACTTGACGAGCAAACCAGATGTGACGAATTGACTAGATTTGCTAACGTCATGTTTTATGTCCAAAATGTATTTCATCAACATGAGCTCCCTTCTGCTAGTTGTGTATGGATGGAATAAGCACAAGCTTTCTGGCTGAACATACTAATGTAAATCTGGCGAGTTGCCTTGTATAAAAGCGGTTATTCAGACCTCATTGAGCGATCCCATTTCATATATGCAGAGTAGCATTAGGGTATTTATGCGTGCAAGTGTGGGGTTAGTAGCTCCTGACATCTATAGGCGAAACATTATTCACGGAATCCTATTCAAAAGTTGTCTATCAGGAATTTTCCATGTTTCTCTACCCTCAGCGTTTAATTCGGATTCTTCCACGAAGTGTTTCTTTTCTCTAATGCTTACGCACGCATGATGTGATTGCCCTATGTTAAATAGTCTGGCTTTGCCGTCGAAAATCAATACATTCCAACCCACTCTATTCAATCATTCATCCGTATCTTCGTTCTAACTTTAATTGCCAAGATGCGTGTCCTTCTTACCCTCAGTTCTTTCATTGCTGCTGTGCTGGCCACTGCTCGTACAACACCCCCCTCGGGTGCTATCACGGCTGGGTCCGGAGGAACCTACTCTACCGTAAGTTGCTTAGAATGTATCCACAAGAATCCGCTTTTACTAACCAAGCAAATAGTTCCAAAAAGCCGTTAATGCTCTTAGCAAGACCACAACCTCCGCCCAAGTCATTTTCCTCTACTCCGGAACTTACTCGGAACAAGTGACCATTCCCGCCTTAAAGGGAAAGCTCACCGTCTACGGATACACCAAGGACACTTCCAGCTACTCAAACAATGTTGTCAACATCGTACACAGCTCTTCCCTCTTGAGTGGAGCTGCCAATGATGAAGAAACCGGAACCGTCATTAACTTGTCGGAGAACACCGCTTTCTACAACATCAACATCAAGAATACCTATGGAAAGGGTTCGCAAGCCATTGCTTTGGCCGCCTACAACACCGAACAAGGATACTATGGTGTTGGTCTTTACGGATACCAAGATACCCTCTTGACACAAACCGGTAACCAAGTTTACGCCAAGTGCTACATTGAGGGAGCCGTTGATTGGATCTTTGGCCAACACTCCGTCACTTGGATTGATGGCTCTACCATTGCTGCTTCTGCTGGCGGTGGATGTATTACTGCTAACGGACGCGCAACTTCTTCTGACCCATCTTTCTACGTTATCAACAAGTGCACTGTTACTACCAGTTCCTCCTCGACTGCTGGTTCGGGAACTGTTTATCTCGGTCGTCCATGGACTGAGTATGCTCGTGTTGCTTACCAAGAAACTTCCCTCGGCAGCATTATTCAGAAAGCCGGATGGTCCCAATGGTCTACCAGCGATCCAAGAACTGGTGCTGTTCTCTTTGAGGAGTATGACAACTCTGGGCCCGGTGCTTCAGGTACTCGTGCTAGCTTTTCAAAGAAGTACAGTACTGCCTACACCATCGCTGGTGTTTTAGGAAGCTCCTACTCCAAATGGGTTGACACCTCTTACCTTTCTTAAAGGGGGTATCGGTATGACTCGTAAAAGTAGTAATTGGGGATGGGGAATGAGGGATGTGGTTATCTTCTGATGAGGTATTTTCAATTGTATATAGCTATTTGAAGCTTACATCGCTTTATGTGCATAAATATTATGGCTTTTTTGCTGCATCGAAATCTTGTTATTCGTCGTGTTTCGTATTGTGAATATGTGATAAACTGCAATTCAGTTTTCGTTTTCGAATATCCAAAGCATGCCTATCGTTAGTAAATTGTGATCTCGTACAACACCGTGTGCATTTCCATAGTTTCACCTCCATGAATTCCAGACCTCAATCACCTTCTTTCCACTCAATATCATTCCAGTCATTCCTTTTCTTCAGAATTATCTCATGTATTCTTGTTAAACCAACCAAATCTTTATTCCCATCATAGTCATGATTGAAGCTCTTCCCAGCAACCTCGTGGTATTCTCACCCGTCCATCTCATCATCATCATAATCTGAACAGCGCAAGTTTCGAACTTGAATGAAGATAACTACAAAAAAGAATATATAAGATTTCTATCGCCATTCTCACTTCCATTCTCATTCTCATTCTCACATAAAAATTATTGCCCTTAATCATTCTAATATTCCAAATGCACTCAGAATCTTTATTCGTAGTTTGGGGAAGCAGTATGAATAATTTATAATAAAAAAATATGAAAGAACAGTATTTTGCTTTGAGAAAGTTTCTATATATTCGGCTGATCATTTGCTCAAGAGCTGATTAATAACCTTCTCTGATGCTCTTGAATAGATGGGTTTATTTGACAAGTGACAGACAGCTCTGACTTGATATTGTGTTGAAAAATAGTTGAGGGATATCATGTATCTATTTCTGTATCATCTTACGGTGAATCTACTAGTCCTAGTACTAAGAAAATCTCAAATCAGCTAACTCCTCACTATTGACTTCTAATCCTCTCCTCGTCTACTTTTCTATAGATCTACAGTCAAGTAAAACCTTCCTCGTATCAATTTGCAGAAATCCTATATGTAGTACTCCCATAAATCCATCTTCTAAGAATCACTATAATCTCTGAGAAGAAAACGTTTAATCAAAGCAACTTTTCAACTCAGTACTGTTTCTCAAATTCTCTACTCGAGATCAAAAATTCAAAATATAAGTCATACTGATCAAATCCATCTTTCAAGTTCTTGGAGCTAAACATATATATAGTGTACGCTATATAGAGATATTGTTTCTTCTATATATCTTTATATATATAACATATCTTAAAACTAACTCTCTTCTTATTTTACATTCCTAAGTTGAGTAACTTGAGTTCGTTAAATCAAAACATACTATAAAGAAAAGCTGATTATCTATTACTGAATCACATTACTCTATCAAAAACACACAAGTACATATACTTTCTCTTTGAAACTCATACCCATCATTTCGAGGCGAGCCAGCTCTCTAGTGTTTCGGAGCGCTTAATATTAGTATTATATATAGTCCTGATAAAGGGAAATAAGAATAAACAAAGAGTTTCTTTTGCTGGATTATCTTTTGAATAACTCCAATATCGCTAAATTAGATATCTAATAAAATTTTGATATCAAAAACTGAAAATAAAGCTTATTCTTTTTTTAATTCTTTATACAATTGAACTAATACAAAATATTATATTATATCCAGATCATATAATCACATACAAATTGAATTCCTGAATATAAAAAATATAATCAATATACACTATACACTATACAAAAATTCCATAAAATCCAACGTATAAGTTTCTTTCGCTACACTCCGAAACAAAATGTTCCCTGTTTTTCATCTCTCTCTCACATCTCCTCCCCCCTATTATCCATTCGATTTTTCTTAACCCCCCGAAACCAAACTCCCACCCAGCTCCAAAGTCTCCTCCCTCTTAAAACCCCTTTTCATGAACTAACAAACATCACAAAAAAATATCAAGACCTCTCCAAAGTCAAAACCACTCGAAAGCTTCCACATCTATAACTAGTATCTGCCTACATCCATACAAATCAAAACTTGAAGCCTTCATTCAAATCTCAAAGTCCATACACTTGTGCATTGAGTGAACAAATCATATCTTCGTGATATATGTATTATATCGAATTGTTAGATTTGTTTACATCGAATCATGTCCTATCATATTATGTAGAATTTGAGTTTGAGTTCTTTGAAATCTATTCTTATATCTATCTCTATATACTCTCTATATACTATGTGTTTAATATCTAACTGAATGTATTTCTATTTTTTTTCACCCATCCATTCATCCACTTGCCCCCATCCCATCCCATCTGATCCCATCTGATCCCATCTTCTCTTGTTATACATACAAACAATACGACCCAAATTCCACTCACCCTTCATATTCATACACCTTCTATACCTTTTATCTTCCCTCCTTCATCAAGAAGTATTCACATGTAAATCATAATAGAACAAACTCTCGCCTAAACATATACATATACAAATACAATCTCTCTGTCTTCTCTTCTTTATTCCCTCCTCATAATTACATTTCCTCTCATTAATATTCTATCCTCATTCTTGATCCTGATCTCTCAATTCTCGATTTTGAAATTCCTTCTTTATCGTTTTATTATATCACATCATCCCCCCCCCCCCAACCATATCATCCCCATCCCATCTCTAACCCTCAACCCCCCCATCTCGATTCTCGATTCCCAAACACTCAACTCCCCAACTCTCCAACTCCCCTTCATCCCGCTCCCCCCACGAAAAAACATCAGAATTCAAATTTCATCGAAACCTCACAAACCATCATACCCAGGTCTCAGAAATCTACCAATTCTGCTCAAACCATCCTCCAAACCATTCTACAAACTCATTCATTATCCTCCTTATTCCTCATTCCTTCCTTGTTCTCTCCTCAAATCTCCTTTCCTCCTCAAACCTCCTCTCTCACTTACATCTTCCCATTCATATCTTCAACATATAATATAATATAATACATGTATCTATTTCCTATCATCACCCTCACTCACACTCTCCCTCTCATTCACTCACCCTCACTCACTCACCCTCACTCACTCACAACCACAACCACAACCACAACCACAACCACAACCACAACCACAATCCCCAACAAATCATAATTCTCATATCCACTCCCTCCATCCTCTACTTCAACCCCAATCTTAATACAACATCGCTCAATACAATATCGCCCATTATAACACAACACAATATAACACAACACAATACAATACAATACAGGGATGCGAAGACTCAACACCTGTACGCGGTGCATCCTACGAACCTCCAGCTCTCTCTTGAGAGTCTGCAGAGCTAAGATTGAGTCGCAGATGGAATTGGAAGAATTGGAAGGAGAGAGGTTCAGAGATATAGCGAAGGATTATATTACGATTTTACGACAGCAATATCTACGAAGAGTTGAATACCAGTTTTAGACGCGGATACGAAGGTTACGGAAGTTCTGGTTAGATTCAACATTTATTATCGATTATTATTTCAAATACAGAAATATGATACGCAGTAGGTCTCTTCTTTTAGAAGAGTCTTTTCGATATAGAGCTTGCCGCCGCTCTACTCGTATTACAACCCTTTTTTATACCCTTTGGCTTTCAGCCACTCGAATATTACGACGATACAATACAGAGAATGCCATCGCTTTCAAATTAATACTATGCTCTGGGTATTGATACAATACAATGTTTTTCTTTTAATTTTCGAATTTTCGAATTTTCCGAATTGATTTGTGTATAGGCAATAGGGCTTAGGATTCAGCTCTGCTCTACTATTTTCAACAGTTTCGATTATACACATTTAATAAGAGCTGAAGGATATCAAGTTTATGAAGATATACAAGGGGCTAGTTTAAAAGAAATAAAGATAGAGAAAAATGGTGTCTTTTTCTGCTATCTCATTAGCAAGAGGACCTTTTATTATATTGAAAGCAACTCGGAAGGGGATAATTTTGTCTTTTATAGAAAAGGAGGGATAGCAAATTGGATTTAGGATTTTAAAAAGAGAAATTGGATATTGGGATGCTTTAATTGAATTAAAAATAGGGGAAAAGTGAGAAAGAAAGTGTCTCAAAGGATAAAGACTATTTAATCTCTATTTACACTCCAAATAGAGATCGGGCATAGCACCCCAGCATTCGTTTTTACTCCCCCAAATTGAATATATCTACTATAGATATCCACTAGCAGTTGTTAGGTTCTTAAAGCCTAGCCGTCCTAAATAGTCTTGGACTGAGAAAAGGACGTTAATTAAATCAATCAATCAACAATACAATACAACACAAACACCCCAAAACTCATAAACAACTATCAGAGATCTATCATTATTTGAAACTCATTAATGCTAACACTAACATTAACACTAAAATTAACACTAACAATAACATTAACACTAACAATAACACTAACATTAACACTAACATTAACACTATCAACTATTACACTACCAACTACTATACTACCATCTACTATACTACCAACTACTATACTACCAACCATTACACTACCAACTACTACTACTACCACACAATCTAAACCCCACCACTCTACTCAAGTAATATATACAAACACCATAATACAACCCCACTTTCTTTCAAAAAGGTCATCGTTAATTAGGTATCTATTATTCATCGCTTAACTCTCAAACTCCTGGATATCGCTTATTTCCTTTTCCTTTTCCTTTCCTTTTCATTCCCATTCAATCCTTATATCCACTGTAAATATTTACTTTTTCTTCATCCCATCCCCATGCAATTATCTAATATTGGTATCTTTATCTTCCATCTTCCATCTTTCATCTCCTCATGAAATCATAATCCATTCACCTACACCCCGCCCCTCTCTTCAAATTAAACTCTAGCCTCCTCTCCCTTCTCCTTTCCATTAACATCTCTATCGATTTCTCCATTCCCATTCGTACTCGTACTCCCTCCTTCCTCCTCATCCCTCGGAGCCTGCTGCGTGGGATAAATCGGCGCAAACTTACTCTTCGCCCTGAGCTTCTCTCCATACATATAAAAGCACACTGGAATCGGCACCAACACAAGTGCTACACAACCCAACAGTGTTCCCGCCCAATTGACTCCCATTGCCTTGAACATATATTGTGAAAACAACGGGAATCCCGCTCCTGCCAACGATCTCAACAATGTATTTGCCGCAATAGCCGATGCTGCAAACATAAGGTATGCATCCACAAGATAATTCAAACTTTGCAAAAAGATTGCCAAAAGTCCAAATCCTGTAAGTAAACCCGAAAGAGTGGGAACGATCCAATGAATATCAGCTCTATACCCCGACCAACCGAACCAAAATAGTCCTGCTGCGAAACTCACTCCTCCAATAATCACCGGTGGAAGACGCCATTCAGGAACCGGAATACCGTTGTTTGCTGCTAATTTACGATTGTAAGATGGTTGAGTAAGAACGATGTAGATACCTGCGATTAACATTCCAACGATCATACCGAAATATGGGAGGCCGCCTACGCCACCTGTGAAACCGTGGATTTGTTGGAAGACGATTGGATAAGCTGTAAGGAAGAGGTATAGAAGACCGTAGATGAAAGCCATATAAATAGATAGAAAAAGAACGATAGGTTCTGATGCCAAAAGTCTAAGAGGACGAGAGAAATTCTTGGTGACCAATTCACGGAAATCAATCTCGATTTCTTCTTGTTTGGCGTGAATACCCCAATTTTTGGTTCTTCTTCTGAGCTCGGCTGCTTTTTCGATCAGGATGACTGGTGGGTAGGTTTCCGAAAGGAAGAAGAGATCTAGGATGAATGCTGCAAAACCCATTATAGCAACCAACCATTCAGTCCAACGCCAGCCGAGATGAGATTCAACGATGAATCCACCAATGAAAGGTGCTAGAAGAGGTCCAGTGAAAACTGTCATCGAAAATACGGTAATAGCAAGGCCTCTCGTTTTATTATCGAACATGTCCGAGAAAACAGCTGCAACAACTGCTAGAGGAGCTGCACCAAACATACCTATTCATCCAATGATTAGCTTTTGTCTATGCCAAATCTCGAAGCGAGAAAATAATGGTATACATACCTCCCCAAAATCTACAAATCAAAACTGTTTGTAAATCCTTCGCCGCCGCGACTGCAACCTGAAAGATCGAAAATCCAAACATAGAGAGAACAATCGGTAATCTTCTTCCCTTCAATTCCGACAAAGGAGCCCATAATATTGGTCCAAAAGCGAATCCTAAAACATAGAACGAGAGTCCTAACAATCCTACTTCCGTGGAAACATTGTATTCCGCTGCTACAACTCTGGTTGCTGTTGAGAAAATACTCGATGTAAATGATGACACTAATGTTGTATAAGCCAACATTACTGCTGTAATAACCCTATTTCGATCGATTAGCTTCACTTCGATTCGAGTAGTAGGAAAACTATTGGGAACTCACTTCTTCTTCATCGGCCAATTGACAGCATGAAGCGGATCATCTGGTCCATCAAATTCTACTACATATTCTTCTTGAGCCGGTAGCAATGGAGGATACTCCTTTCCTAGACCCATCAACGGTAATGGTTTCTCCTTCGTACTGAATATCCTGGTAAGTCTACTACTCCTTCCCGTCGCAGTTCTTCCTACCGTCCCCGTATGCTGCGAACGCGCAGTTTGAATGCGAGATATAACAGTTGGATGCCGTTCTAAATCAGCTTGTGTGGGAGCTCGAGAAACTGTAGGACGAATTGAGGCATCGGAAGAAGTGGTCGAGATGGAGGATGCAGTGGGTATACGTTCTATTTCGTGGGAAGGATGGCGGGGTAGAGGAGAATGGATGGGAGATTCGACGGAATAACGTTCTGGAGAGGCATCACGCTCGGCGCGTACTATTTCTCGATCTGCCTCATTCATGGCTGCGATTGTGATGTTGTGGTTGTTCTCAATTGATTATTGTAGTTGTGTTTATACTCGTCCGAGTAGTTATCGATGTATAGGTATGGAGAGATAAGCTTATCAGACTTGGACTCGTCTAGACCTTGTTCTTTGACAATGACAATGATGATGAGGATTTAATTAATTGTATGTTATGTATGAATGATGAATGAAAAAAATAAAACCTCAAAACTAAAAAAACAAAGGGATCATAAGATATTTATTCTATTTACTCAAATCTAAAAAACTTTTTACACGGGACATAAAATCTTCACTGCCGAAGCATAAAACCGGTTATATGACAAGATATCCATCTTAGCTGAGCTTGGTAAGGGGAAATAAGAAGATTAGTAGAACCTTCTTTTCCAAAAAAGTTCCCACCCCGATCTACCTAGGTAAAGTTCTAAACTCCATCTCCATACTCCGTAACACGACTATGGACGAACTCCATAGTCGGGCAAATTGGGAGAGTGATACCGATCTTAATTTTATGCCGTTGAATGTTAGATCCACTCATACGGGCGCACCAGCGGATTAGATTATAGTAAGTACCTATCAATTTTGACATCAATTCAATAATTCGATAATTTGACAGTTTGACAATTTGTCAGCCATCTAGACGTTCCAACTAATCGAACTATTCAATCTGTAGCTAGACTAATAAACCCTTAAATTCATTTCGATTTTGATCTCCTATGGAAGATTTTAGATATCAGATTTTATACATCAGCTAATACTCGTAGACAGATGAAAACTACACAAGTTGATACTCGCAATCTCTGATTGCAATTTTATTCAACCCTCGAATCTCTCATCATCATCATCCAATCTTCATTCATAATCATACCATTTCTCATTCATCTTTCCTCCTTTTCGCTCTCATCTAGTAAGCCTTCTATGTAGATGTATATCCATGTAGATGTATATTTACATCTACATTACATCTACATCTTCTCTCACCGAACTCACACATCACCATCACATCTAACCCCTAACATACGATTACCACACGTCCAGACTCCCTCGAGCTTAACACCGGTCCGCAACCCACATTGTCCGCTCCGACTCCACGTCGAGTCATCGAGTATCACAAACACACAAACCAAACTCAAAAACTCAAAAACTCAAACTCAGCCCCAACCCAACCCAACCCCTACCTCAGCTTACGTCCTTACCGTCCTCCACCAAACTTCGTACCATCCATCCTCCGCCCAGTCGGCTATCGGCATCTACACCTCCAAGTCACCCTAAACCCATGAGCCGATCACTAACAAACAAATAATAAACACACCGCAATAAACCCCTTCCAAACCCCCATGTAATGTAGCGGGCCCTCCGTATTTGCAAAAAGTTATGCAAGAACCCTTGTCACCCATGCATCAAATTCGAATTCCGAGTATAGTACCTAGGTAATCACCCTCAGGTTCGCTTTGTAAGACGACATACTCCGCACCAAAATACCAAAATGCCGAAATGCGTAAAAAGGAAAAAGAAAAATGACATAAGAGGCGTTGTAACCTTAATTCGCATGCTAAAATTTCCTCGTAATACCTATCCATACCCATACCCACAAACTCAAACTCAATATACTTATCTAGTATCTATCAATATCTTCAAAGTATTTTATCTCCAGTTTAAAATACTACAAATCCTATAACATATCTATGCACCTACCCAGACCCCCAATCTCGAACCTTCGATCCCATCCCATTCGCTCTCCAAGCGCTCGCTCGCTCCCTTTCCTCCCCCTTCCTCCCACTCCCACTCCCACATCCGAATCCAAATCCAAACCCAAAACTTACCGCTTACCCACGGTTACAATCGGCAACCCATTCCATTCATTCCATCCATTCCATCCATTCCTCTACTCACCCGAGCCCCTTCAATAAACAACAAATAACGAACAAGAATCGCTATAGCTACCACTTCGCTCCCCATGTAAAATTTCAATCCCAGGAAGAAAAAAAAGTGAAAAGATGAGATGAGAGATAAGAGAAAAGTTTTCTTTTCATTCTATTCTATTCTCTTTTTTTCACATTTCATTTCTACTCGATATCAATATTACTATTACTATTACTATCAACCCCCTTTCTATAATCGAAATAAGAGACAGATAGAATACAAATACTATCTATTAGAACTTCAATAATATAAATCTCTTTCCAATATATACAATATTATACTAAATATACATATATAGATCCAAATAACAATGTAAAGAAAACTCAAGTTTCATATAAACAAAATTATTCATTCATTCATTTATTCATTAATCAAAAAATCCCTCAAAAAGCTAATTACTAGATACTCACTCAATTTCTATCTTTTATTTCAATTATCTACCTATACAAAGTCCCCTTTTATCAAAATATAAACTTCAATTCAATCTAATCTAATCCCAAAGATGAAAAATAAATTTATTATAAACTTATTATAAAATGTATGAAAATTTAAAATGAAAATTGAGAGAGAGGGAGAGAGAGATCTATCTATCTAAGTTCGCTCGCTACCTTCTCTCTCTTATTTACTCTCACCTCTTTCAAAAAGAAAATCCAAATCCAAATCCAAATCCAAATCCAAAAATCAAAATCAAAATACAAACAAGAAAAGAGTAAAAATCAACAAAAAGAAAAAGAAAAAAGAGTCATTACTTATTCACCTAAATTACCCCCTTCTTCTCTCTCCCTACTCTGTCTACTTTCTTCTCTCTCCCCTCTTCATCTCGCTTCCCTCCCCTCTCTCCCCTCAAAACAAAACTCAATTTTAACCCATCAAAAATAAATCCAATATTAAAGTAAAAATCAGTAGAAAGGGATAAAATAATGTTTATTTATCCACTCAAATTCGCTTACTATTCCCCCCCCCCCTTTTCCCTTTTCTTCTCTTTTTATCTCCTCCTCTTCTCCTCACCCCCTTTCTCTTTCCCCTTTTTTATCACCCTCTTTCCTTTCCCTTTCCCCTCGCTTCCCTCCTCACCCCCTTTCTTCCTCTCTTCCTCTCCCCTCTCCCTCCTTCTTTATATCAAACAAGGAAATCGATCTATTACGAGGTATAGTAGATAGTAGAGAAGGCGAGTTTACAATCTCCTAAAATGGAGAATGGAGAGTGGAGAGTGGAGAGTGGAGAATGGAGAATGGAGAATGGAGAGGGGATTGAGGAGTAGGCATAGGAGTATATTATATTATACTATCCCATCCATCCCATCCCATCCCATCCCATCATAACAACACACAACCACAAGCACACCATAACCACAATCACCAATCCAAATAATTTAACACCAAGGTATATTTTAAAATTTCTCTCATCTACAATGATAACTTGGTACTTCATACCTAGTATTGGGCTCCACTACACTCCGCTCCACTAAAATACACATACTATCTACCATTCCTTGTATTGCATTGGTATCATATCATGCCACTGTATTTCCCATCATTTCCTTTCCAATGTCTTTCTACTTCCCTCCTCTCCCTTCATACACCTTCATTCACACTTCATCCACAATCATGTAATGTCAATCCATCAACTACCCTCCCAGGCCTCAAATCAAATGCCAAGTTTAAACAACGCCCCTATAACAACATGCCATGGAATCTTCCATATATCGACATGGCACGCTTTCATCGCCACGCGAAAATCACAAGAAACGCTCATGTCAATAACCATGCAACCACATCAATGAAACAAACATGCCCAATTCCTAACAACTCCTTGCTTGAATATAATAACAAACACCAGATGCGCCTTCCATGTCAAATTAACATGGTATAATCGTGTAAAGGTTGAAATCAAAGTTCGACATTACATTTCCTGTATCGCTCCTTCAAGACATGATAGTGAAAATTTTCAAAAATTGTCATCATGCTTCGGAAATGCAACTCGCATTCCCCATCGTGATATCATATCTTTTCATGTCTCCAAATCAGAATGTTCGTCTACATTCTCCTCGACCATTTCATCTGCCTCTGCTACCTCTTCCACAGCAGGATCATTAACTTCCTCAAAATCTGCATCTGCTTGCGTCATTCCATTTTGACGTTCCCAAACTTCTCTTCTGATTCGTTCATCTTTTGCAACTCTTTGCCTTTCGACCTCCTCGAAGCCTCCAGACTTCTTCAATTTTCCTGATTCAACAAAAGAGGTCAATTCTTTCTGCAGAACATTGCCTCGGCGACCCTCAAGTTCCTTTTGTCGAAGTTTTTCGGCACGCTCAATGGCTTCAAGACGATTCTCGTGATTTGGTTGCAAGGCACGAACTTCATCAAGAACACCTTCTTTTGCCGCGGCAGGATCAATTGGATCAATACGGTTGAGTTTGGAAAGACTTCGACCGGTACCGATATGACTTGGGGATCCATCCTTCAATTGTTCTTTAGTAGCTTGTTCAACGAGTGCAAAGGTTTGTGCGGCCTTCTCCAAATCATCTTGAAGATCTGCTGCAAGGTCTTCTTGCATTGTAATCTCTTCACGATCATTGCAAACTGTCTCCAATTCCTTCTCCCAGATCTTTGTCCAGATTGGTCTCTCACGTTTCAAGAAGTCTTGCATCCTCTTCAACTCCATTGTCGCTTGAGAAATATCCTTGGCAACAGTCTCCAATTGCTTGGGAAGAGGTCGTACACCACGTTGTACAACATCCTTTCGTAGATCTTCAACAATATCTTGAAGATCATCCACTTGTGCAACCAATTTATCGGAATCTTCGCTGAGGTTCTTCTTTCCACCATTGACATAAGAACGTCCAGAATCACCATTGATATCTGGAATAACAGCTTTAACGGCAACACTTTTGACGGAGCTAGCCTTTGTGCGAATCAAAGCCATGGAACTTTGAATGTCAGATTGGAAGCTAGAGTAAGTTTGCCTGAGTACTGCAAGATCGCGACGAAGGCTTTGGATTTCAGTAAGTTGAGCTTGACCATTGGCTTTCGATGGGCTGGAATTAATGCCATTGGTGATACGTCCAGTGTCGATCATTGAAAGTCTTGCAGAACTAGGTGGCGCAGATGCGATTCGAGCCATCTCCTTTGCAGCATCCTGTTGGCGATCCGAGACTCTTTGAATTGTAACTTGTTGATCATCCACTGCTGTTTTGACACTCTCGACCATTTTCTTCAATCCTCCTAGACTATCATCAATATGTCGCTTCACTTCATCTAGAACTTCAACATTTAGTACAAGTACAGAACGATCTTTGATATCTTGAAGATCTTCCAATTCGTGACGAACTCCAGATACTGGATCTTGGATATAAATCTCGGGTAGATCAACACCATTGTTGTGGGTATTCCAGGCAAACTTTTCGATGAACGCCAACTGTAGTCTTGCCATAGATAAGTCCTTGTATCCATCAGCAAGGACAAACTTCTTAACCTTGGTCTTATATTGTAAGAAAATTGTGATCTCTTTATCAGGTGGAGGTGGAGATTCTTCGGGTGTAAATTGTCTAGCTTGGCTACCATAAGAAGGACTTTCTCTTTTCGAAGGGGATCGCTTGTGTTGGGGGGCTTGAGGAGGTTCAGAAGTAGCCTTTTCTTCATCTTGATCTTGATTATCAAAGTTTGGAAGAACATCAGGGGGTGGTCCATTGAGAGTTGCACTCGGTCCATCATAATCATTAATAGACTGTCTGAACTTGTCTTCTGGGGTCTTGACTATAGGACTGTCATTCGAGGGTGGTTCTTCTGGCTGCTGAATTAATGACTCTTGACTATCTTCGGCAATCACACTTGGCTTTCGAACTGGGGATGTCTCATTCTGAATCAGACGAGAATTTGTTCGACCGAGACGTTGGTCACGATTTTGAACAGCTCTCAGCGACTCCCTGGCATCATTGCGTCCTCTGTTTGGTATTGGCGAGTTTTGTGGAACAGGCATCATTGGAACTCCATTGGGAGATGCACCAACAAGTTTTGAGATTTGATAAGCAGAATAACGTCTGGAAGCTCTTCTTTCCAAATCCCCCCCTTTTTGTAAAGCTACCAATGCAGCATTTGTCTTTGGTGGCGGCGGAGGTGGTGGAAAATTATCCACATTCAAAAAACCAGGATCATTTGGACGTGGCATTGGTATAGAGACTTCATCTCCCGGATAAGGTGGAACAACAGGAATGCTCTGCATTGTTTGGCTTGACAGTGTAGATTGATCTGAAGATACTGAACCTCGAGATGAGTCTCTGGGTGGTCCAGCCGCTCTTCTGCTTGATGATCCTGTAGCCGAAGAAGTCCTCGGAGGTATGTTAGAGTCGGTGGTAGATTGTCCTTTGCTTCCCCTATCATTTGCCACACCCGACTCCCCTTGAAAATTATTTTCCAGCCCTTGATTCAGCAATGTAGTCAACCCAGTACTATTACTCGCAATGCTACTGAGGCTCCCATTTCTCGGTATGGTTTCTCCATTTTGTGATGCGCTATCTCGCCCTTGTTTTTGCCGCAGTTTTTGTTGCTTCCGCTTTAAACCATGCAGGAGAGTAATGATTATATCTCTAATTCGAGGCAGGTATTTCTCCAAGCTCTCGACACTTGCTTCTTGACTGAGCGTTGATTCGAGTATATGTCGGAGCAACTCTGGTACATTCCCCAAATCCGAAGTATCAACATTTATTGCTGTAAATGCCCTACACGCAATATTGAACTCATATCCCAAGCGCACATAAACATCCGAAACTTGTGCGTCTGTCGCTTGATGTCGAGACCATTGTGTGAGGGTTTCGAGAAGTTGTTTCGTGGCGACCAGAAGATGTGTTACGCTCTTTTCGATCTGAGATAATGGTGGGGGGTTTTGACCACTTTGACTACTGCTGCTTGTCGGAGGTTGACCACCCTATTCCAAAATCAACACATTAGCATGCATTCTCATGGACGAGATCATTGTCGCCAAGGCGAATCAATTACATCAAGGGGAACCAATCACTTACATTTTGTCTTCTTCCGGAGTGATTGCTTTGAACAGACTTGGTCGAAGCCGTTGAATTCCTTGGCTGGGGACCCAAACTTGGAGATATAGCCCTGGCGGATATGGTCGGAGGGGGACCAGGGGAATCCGATGCTGGAGATCGTCTTTGAACGGGTCGTTGAGGTGCTTGCATTTCTGCGACCGATCTAATTATTGATATCCTATGGGAAGTCGAAAGGAGGATTCCGCAAAGAGTCAGCGCGCCATGCACCAAAGTATCCTATGATAACCCGAGTTATTTGGCAAATCAATGCAATTCGATGCGCTCCGATGATGAGAGGGTTAGGAAAGAAATTTGCGGCAAATGAATGTGAATCCTTCGTGGTTGTCGTAAAAGTTGTTCAAGTAGATGGGTATCAATTCGAATGGATTTAATTCAATTCAATCAATCTACACGGCAGGTGAGTGCCTCATGCAAGTGTGCCAGATCACGCTAGTTTAGCCGAAAAGGTTTACTCAGGTGGTGAAACCTTTCTGACTGGGGAACGTTTATAAGAGGGTAGGTCCGAGCTTTTGGAGAGATTTACAGTGGAATCACATGTTTAAGGGTAGATTGAGGGAGAGGAGAGGGTGAATGAATAACGTGAGTGCAGTGGGACTAGGACAAAAGGAGATTAGTGAGATAGGCAGGTCATGAAGTAAAAATAAAATATTACTCGTACTAGGGAGGTAGTGCAGTGCGTTGATATTAACTTTGATCACTTTGATGGATTAGGTAAGATGCGAAAGATGCACGACTGGAGTTGTCTAATGTAGAACAACTTCGAACCACTTGACGGTACTTGTCGTTCACAGACACTTGGGCATTCAGACATCAAATTAATCATTTTAAATAAGTCCAGTTTGGATTTCCATTTTCAGACATCCAAATGACAAGGACTATCCCTGCCGTTCCAATTTTGGGTTCATTCTGCTCCCGTACGAAAGCATTTTATATTAACAGACCAACCTCTTTATTTTAACAACAACCTTGGAATGGTGAGATGGGTGAAGGTAATCTCACGAAGAAAGTCTTTTCTGACAAATGCAGGCGTCCTTCATATACTTCAGATATAGACGAAGCACTAGAAGAGAGTTAGAAGAGAGTTAGAACGCAAGTCAGAGTTATACATACCTAGTATCCCTAGTAGCTTCTAGAAGTCAAACAAGGCGAAACAAGCTCTTAAAGGGGACCGCGATCACATTACTTGGTCTCAATGTGGATGAAAGAAGTAGAGCTACACCAGCATTTTAGGTTATCCTCGAGCCCAATTGACATTAGAGAGATCCATCGGCCTCGTTAAAGTTTCTTGCTGTATGAACCCTCCATCAACCATGACAACTTCAAATTACTTCTCGAAATCAACCATCAAGAGAAAGCATTCCAGACTCGAGTCTACTGTTTGAAGCTTATCAAGCACCGGTACTTTACTGCTTATTATATCATACTAAACACGTATAATCTAGAGCGATACCCACAACCAAGGTATCAGGTATATCACAGGTGTCAGATGGCACTGCGCTCGAGGTACAACTCGGGTATTTTCATACCGCGCGGCAGTGACCAATATTCAACAAATTCAATCCCGTCCAGGCCGCATTCCGAGGCCGTGGGGGCATGCAAGCCTTTTTCCTTTTCCTCTGATTGGCTGTTATCTCGACCCCCGTGCAGATGAAGATATCCGAGAGAAAGGAAAGGTACAGCAGACAAACATACATCAGAATGACCTAGGAATCCTCAACAATTTTGTAAAGGATTTGTTGATCGTGAAGAATGAAGGAGTTGGATGAAAACAAAAGCTTTCTCTATCTACGAGATACTCGACGATGTCCTCACCCCTAGATCATCACATACGTCACGTATTTCCATTCTTTCCATACGAGGTACCTAGCTACCTACGCGACGTCATCCATGATATTTGTAACGTGGCCGAGTACAAACGCGAGAGGATATAAGTTATAAGATGCCAGAAAAAGTCCGGTCGTACTTGAATCTTCCATGCAAGTGTCCAATCCATGTAGGGATTCGAAGCTCAGGCCTGTGTTACCAGACATTTAAATATGCCTAGTACCTTATGAAAGCGCTCGGGACCTTGAAGAAGAGGATTGAAAAGCATCTTAAGATTTGGATCGTCTGGGCTAGGTAAGATCAGGCCATTTCGTAATGGAGGAAGCGCTTTCGGATCTTTGTTTTCTAGAAGAATGAGAATCCTGTGATTGATTACCTGGTAATTGCCTAGGTAACCAGGCTATTGTCTATGGTTTGAGTTGGATTTATCATTGTACTAGTAGAGTATCTGATGAATGTATATATTGAAGCGTGATATTTTAGACCATTCTAGGTAGGAACTCAATACTTCATTATTCATAGAAATGTATAGGAATGTCTATATAATGCCTGACTACCTACTATGTAAATCCCCTTGAAATAAATATAGAACATCTGTAGTCTATCATCCATCATCCATCATCCATCATTCATCAGCCATCATCACCTACCTATGCAAGTAAGCCTGCGCACCAAGGAAGATTATTGTGCAATTGTTACCGCACGCACATCTCTCATACCAAGGTCAAAGGATGCCCCGGTGTTCGTATATGTGACCCGAGCGACCCAAATGGACCTTTCTCTCCCCCTTGTTGAATGAAAATATTGGAATCGCATCTTTGCATTTACGATCCTCAGCCTATCTGAGAAGCCTTTACGAGTATCTCTGTGTGGTTTTCACCATCTAGGTACTCTCCATCATGCATTATTTCTTTTTTCCTTTTCATCTGAAGAATGAAAATAAATGAAAATAAAACCAAGCCCCTTTTTCCCGACAGTCCATCCTCCCGAATTCCACACTTCTTTTATTACTGACTGTACGATATCTGATTTCCCCAGTTACGATGTGACTAAACGTTTCATTATGTGGTTATGATGATGATGATATCTACCATTGAGGCACATTTGCATCCCATCAAACCCCCATTCGGATTAATGCTCCCGTCTATCGACACTAGGATATGAACTCTACCGGATCCCCGAGATATTAATAACATGGAAAGGGAAGAAGGCTGGACGGTTGACTGTTCGATTGATTTGGGGTCGTGGTCCAGCGAAGTTCCTTGTAGTATGGTCATCGTGTCGGAGAGAATCGTGGAGTAGAGACAAGAGCTCTTGGATGGATAGGTCCCCCAGTAGCTAATAAATCAATAACCGTGGATTCTGCCTCGAGGGAAGGAAAAAGAGTGGATGGGGCTGGGATGGTGTTGACCTCGAGCTTTTAATACGGTGGTCGATTGGGGCGTGGTGGACTGGTACGGCTGTCAGATTAATCATATCAGTCATATCAGTCATATCATATCATATCATGGATTAATCAATCTTCACTTATTGTCACCCTTTGCAAACTTCATCCTCGATGTTGAAACTTTCACTTCTTTTTCTTTTGGACTTCTCTTCCTGGGTAGTTTACTAGGTACCTTTTTCTTCCTATCCTACTTCTTCTCCTCCTGGCTATATTTAGTAGTCTCTCCAATAAGGAAATACTTTATGAATGATAAAAGTTCGATTAATTGCTAGTACCGTCAACAAAGATTCGATATATCAAGAAACGTCACCCAAGTCATCCATCCATTGATCCATCCATCCCATCCACCGTACAATCAAATATCTCTACGAACACTGAAGCAAACCTCCCTTGGGTCAACAGACAATAGGAAAGAAATCGAAACAATTACTTCTTTCTCTCTTTACTAATCCGTTTATTTATCTCGAGATAGAAATCTTACCTAATTCTTGATTGCAACTACATTCTTCTCCTACCGTAGAACTAGGTACTTGCTGCGTATTCTAGACTTAATATGATGAGTCTACGAGTATTTAGAAATACATTCGACTTATTGTCTTTTGAATCTACCTACTACCTCCCTACCTACACACCCGTTGCTTGATAAAACCAAGCCAAAATACCCCATTCGCTTGAGGACATCATTTATTCATCACCCAACTTTCACTACCTAGTAACCACAACTTAACTACTTACACTCCCTCTCCTCCACCCGAACCACCCCCTTCAGAAATTCTGATGGACATTTCCCCTCTTCTGAAGGATCCAGAATAACCATAACCACCACCACCACCAATTCCCCCTCCCAACACTCATAACTTTCAATGATTGTTTGATCTGTTACGATATACTGTAACCATCTTCACTCGTCACGAAAGGGAGAGCAGTGGAGGTCTTTTTGATTTTTTCATTCGATTCATCTTCTTCTCTTCTCATAATTCTTTTTCCTATCCGAGGTGAGACAAGATGGTTCTTTAAATTCTACACATACATACACACACGCACACACTTATCAAAAGTTATGATTAATATTATGATTATTATACACTTTTACAACAACCCCAGCCTTTCTTTTTGACACGATTGATTAAGCTTGGAGCTTTCGCAATCAACTCAAACAACCACATCACAATTTCACTTCTTTAGTTACGGCAATTGTGCATGACATTGCATGTATGCTAACCACATTCCTTTTCCATTAGAATTTTATCTTTCGACTTGGGACCAGTTCCAGATTGAACCCCAGATTATTCGCGAATCCTCCAGCCTTGACACCACGCACACATATTGGGCGCGATTTGAGAAGATCAAAGGAAGGGTGTGTTTTGGAGATTTCCATTTGTGTGGTATGTATTGCGGCTTTTCCCTCCATCTCTCTTCCCCAGCTCTGATGACTCTCTCACTCCCTCTGTCATCGATTGCATTGCATGCATAGTTGATGAAGTGCTTTGCGCATTTCTTGTGCGTTGTGTAACCCAAAGCCGAATCACACTCACCTTACCTACTTACTTCCCTACTTCCCTACCTACCTACCTACCTGCAACATTCACCTTCAAATCTTGTGATTCACATGGATTGGGTTACTAATTTATTTCCTCTCCAGATATCTCTTCGAATAGATCATACACGTACCACGACAAAATTCAAGAGAATCGACTTACATCGGACCATCAGTTGTTGAATATGGTACAACAAGGAAAAAAGGGCAACGACCTTCCCAACGGCGGCACAAAGTACAGAGAACAATCAGGAAACATGACGTCGCAAAGAAAAGATATGGGAGACGCTCGAGGAAATGGTAATGGAAAGGTTGATGGCAGGTCGCAAAATGGTTGGTCCTTTCTACATTGTGTCAATGACATCACAAATGCTAACCTTGCTCAGGTAACTCGAGCTTTTTCCGTACAGACACTGCGATTTCGGGCAACCGAAACCAAGGAGAGCGTGTATTACAAAGATGGGTTCCTGACAAGCCCGCCGATAATGATGGTGGCTTGGAATCAGGTCGAGGAGGAAGAGTAGCTCCTTGGGACCAATTCGCAGAGAATGAGCGACGATTTGGCTTGAAGACAGACTACGATGAGAACATCTACACAACCCAGATCAACACAAGCCATCCGCAATATTCGCAGCGAGTCGCCGAGGCAGATCGAAAGGCTAGAGAAATTGAACGCAGCACGGCAATGAACTCTCATGTTGCAGAAGAACGTATTGCGGACCACACTGGACCAAATGAGAATGGACTTGATGAAGAAGACAAGTGAGTTTCGTGGATTCTATCCCTTGCATATAATTGCTAACATATGGGCAGATACAGTGGCGTTCGCAGACAACAGGATTTCCCACCCCTCACCGCATCAAAGGGTGCATATCAACCACCTGGAAAGCGTGCTCCAGTTGACCGCGCACCCGCAGCTGCTCCCGTTGTTGCTCCCGTTGTTGCTCCCGTTGTTGCTCCCGTTGTTGCTCCCGTTGTTACTCCCGTTGTTGCTCCCGTTGCTGCGCCAGTTCCTGCCCCAGTCACTGCCCCAGTTGCTGCTCCGGCAGATCGTACTCTTGTCGACTCAGCCATCATGTTTGCAGGAGCTAAGGCCGATAAACCCGCCGATAAACCCGCCGACAAGGCAAAACCAGCTACAGCCGCGAAGTCAACAAAGCCAGAGGTCGCAACTCCACCTGCTACCACTGATTCAAGTACCACTCCCACTCCAGAGGTCAAAAAGACTGTGGCTCCTTCTGCAAGCCGCACAATTCCTCCACCAGTCAAACATCTGGGTGGGCCAAATGCTACTGCAACTGTTGAGGCTGATGTTTCCAAGGCTTTCAAGACCTTTGCTGCAACTCAAAGAAACAATGTTTCACAAATTCGCGCCAACAAGATCAAGAATGATAAGCAAATCAAATTAAATGACCTCAAGAGATTTGCCAATGATTTCAAGTTGCATACTCCAGTTCCATCGGATCTTGTCCCTATCATTGCTAAGGATCCAGCAAAGCAAAAGGCGATCCAAGAGAAAGCACAACGCAATGCTGAAGAAGCAAAGCTCAATCCTACTGACTCGGCAAAGCCAATTACCCCAGGGGCAGACGGAGTTTCTGCACAACGTTCCGCTACTACAACCTCTACTCATACTATATCGCCACCGCCCGTTACATCTGGTCGCCAAAACGTTAATCGTGGACCTTATCCTCAAGGCACCCACAGTTTCACACAAAATTCTCGCAGTGACAGACCTGTTCAAGCACAGCAGACCATGCCCCGAAGTGGCACCGCCGGACACTTGGCCCAGCGATTGAGAAATATCGAACAAAATAGACCAGCTCAAGTTCCATCCAATGTCATGCCAGCCCATGAAGCCAGACTTCCTCCTACTGGTCCTTCGAACGCTGCCGATTCAAATTTCTCCCGTCGTTCGAGTGGCGTGGCGAGTGCGCAAGGTGGCCCAAGATTGAATGCTAGCGTCAGCGAATTCCGGCCCAATGCATTCGCAAAAGACTTTAGTCCCGCTGGTCCAAGCAGTGGCTCAAGTCCTCGTTCAGCAGCCAATGCTCCAGAGGCTTCAACAGCACCAGTCGCACGTTCCTTGATTCGCCGTAAGCCAATGGCTAAGAGCGCTCGTCCTTCACTCCAAGGCAAATATGATGCAATGGAGCTCATCAAGACTCTTAAGCCAGGAGAGGGGAAGAATTGGCTAGCCAATGGTGGTTTGAAGCCAGCTTATGACACTCATTTGCTCTGGAAACTCACTGCTGGTGATGCACCAACGGAGTCTTATATACAAGTCTTTGAAAAGGCACCATTCCCTACTACTACACCCGTTGTATCGGAGCCTCACCCACCACAAGCAGCTCCACAAGTACCACACCAACATCAATTGCCATTCCATCTTCAATCTGGCGTTCACAACATCAATGCTAGACAATCCCCGCGTCAACCACCTATCAACATGCATGGAGCTCAGATGGGTCATCCTGCCCCAACATTCAATGCTGATGAATTGCGTATGATGCCATCGCATTCTGCACAATCCTTTTCATCACCAAGAATGCAACAGCTTCCAATGGCAGCCTTCCATTCTCCCATGGGGGGAAATGCTCAATTGGCTTACAACCCACAGATGGTCTCTTACCCTGGTGCACCTCAAATGCCACCATTCAGATCCCTTTCGCAAACTCATCAATTTATGCCACAACAAGGTCATATGGGTCAACCAATTATGATGGCTAACCCTGCAGGTGGATTCATTCCTCCACAAACAATGGGACCTGGTCCACAAATGATGTATCCACCCGCACAAGGTCAATTCATGCCACCAAATAATGGACATCCTCCAGCCATGCCAAATGGCGGTTATCCAAGTCCGGGCCGAGGTGCTCCAATGATGATGAATCAAGGTTCTCAACAAGGTCACCCACAACCTATGTATGGTATGAGCCCAGTCCCTCAATATGGAACACCCGTTTTCCCGCAACCAATCCCAAATCAAAGTAAGTTGAGAAGTTCAAGAAATTTTGCAATAGATTCTAATGTACCAATAGTGCCAATGCGAGGTGGTGCTTATGGAGCACCGAACCAATACGCTACAAGCCCTCAGAATATTCAAGGCGGTCCAAGAAATCAGTATAACCCAGATTTCAATGGCAACAAACAAAATTTCCGACACAACCAACACCCACATGGCCCACCCAACAACCAAGTCCCTACCGGCCCTCAAGCTCAAACTAATCCTGGGGCTGATGAGAGTAAATGAGCGAAGATGCTCTGACTTTGGAAAATATATTCATCACGTCGATGCTTTAGCATCATGCATTTTGACAATATGGAGGAGAACAGCATCAAGTCTATGATCTTTATTTGTCGCATCTTTATAGTGATTGCATCAGTATAGTTCATTAGACCTTATTTGGATCATTGGCATCAATAATCCAAAGATCAGGGCAGTTGGATCCATCCCACCGGTTTGATCTCAAATCAATGGTGGTATTCATTGGTACAAAGTTATTTTTTTTGCTTAGCTGTGTAGTATGGAGAATTATATACTGCCTTTGAGATGTATATCTGATGATTGTATCAGAAGATTTGACCAAATTGATGGATTCGACTGCTATTAAGTTTATTGGACAACTCACAATCCAACTGTACAGTGGGGTGGAAGGAAGGGAACCATCTGCATGGAATGTTTTTATCTTCAAAGAAATAATCATTCATTAAGCATTTGGTGAGCTGGCCAGAATAGCAGATGCGATGCGGGATTCCATCTTATGAGAGATGGCTTGATGAAAATGTATACATGGAGATATGATGGAAGGAATGAATGAATTATAAAGAATTTTTTTTTGCTGATGGGGTAGTGGATTATACTTTTCTACTGCCATTGTGGTTATGTATCTTACATAGCTTTAGATTTATATGCATAAACACCATTCCATCACCATTTTTTAGTTTTTGATATGATGTGAGGCGATGTACTGAGTTCAATAATCTTTATTTTGGATTTATTTAATCATGATCTTAATTAGTGACTCCTCAGATAAAGCACGCACTCCCTTAACCTGAGTTGCTAAATAATGATATATATACGAAACTCGAATGGTTCATAACATATAAATAAATGAGTAAATAAATAAGTAAACAAAATAATCATCAGCTTCCAAATCATTAGTTTTCGGATCATTAACTTCTAAATCATTCTTCTGCCTCATTCTTCCGCCTCAACCACCATCTTTAACTTCAAACTCCCGACTCGGAATCAGAATCAGAATTAATAGGGGGATCGAGACCCGCCGCTTCTTCGCTCGGTAGTTGACGCGGAAACCAGCCGTAGGTGGGGAGGGAGATGTGGTGGGTGTTTACTATTTTGGAGGGGGGGGGGGGGTGGGGTTAGTTAGTTGGATGAGGATATGGGGAGAAAGGAGGGAAATAAATACATACGAGAACCAACCGTTACTTCGATACCTTCGCTACGTAAAATGGCGGCTTGGGTTTGTGCGCCCGAGGGGTGGGATCTTTTGGGGAGGGGGGTTAGTTTGATTTTGGGGGATGGGGGGGGTTTGGAGGGAGAGGGAGGGGGTTGGAAGGAGGAGGGATATGAGGGGTATGAGGGGTATGAGGGGTATGAGGGGTATGAGGGGTATGAGGGGTATGAGGGGTATGAGGGGTATGAGGGGTATGAGGGGTATGAGGGGTATGAGGGAGATGGGGGAGATGGGGGAGATGGGGGAGATGGGGGAGATGGGGAGATGGGGGAGATGGGGGGAGATGGGGAGAGGGGAGAGGATAACAAGAAAAGGGAATAGTTTGAATAAAATATTTGAGAAAATAGTTTGAGAATGTAGTTTGAGAAAATAGTGAATAATAATGATGCATGATGATGTATAATGATGAGGGAGAGGCGAGGAAAAGAGAAAAGAGAAAGAGATAAAATACATACCGTGGACTTATCTCCCCTTTTGCATTAATCACTCGTTGCCAGGGTACATTTCCGTTGTGGAAGAGGTGAGAAGTGGATGTAGAGGGAGAGGTAGAGGGGGGTGTGGTGGAGGAGGGGGCGCTGGGAAGATGCTTAAGACAAATTCCTACTTGGCGGGGGCGGTTGGCTGGATGGGGGAGAGGGGATTAGTTGTTTGTATGTATGTATGTGTGTGTGTGTGTGTCTATGGGGTTTGGGAAAGTGTGAAAGGAAAAGGGAGGAAGAGGAGGATAAAAACAAAGATCAAAAAGAAAACTCACGCGTCCCAATCAACCACGCAATATGTCCATATGTCGTTACTTTTCCAAACGGAATTTCTTGGATGGCGCTGTAGACGGAGTGGTAGAAGGTGGTTGCTTCGTCGGTGCGGGGCATAGTTGGGGTTAGGTGAATGGTTGTTGTGTTGTGTTGTGTTGTGTTGTGTTGTTTCTCTGTATCTGAGATTTTTATAAGAGGGAGGAGGGAGGAGGGGTTTTGAATTGTGGGTGTGTGGATATGAAATCAGTCTTTTAATTAATATGTGATTATTGAAATGAAGGGTTTGTGTTATTAGGGTTATTGATATAAAGTATAGAGTATAAAAAATAAAGTATAAAGTTTGAAGTATATAGGGCGCAGGGCACAGCTAACCGGGAGGAAGGGAGGGGAGGGAGGAAGCGGGAATTAATGAGTAGACGAATTGATGAATAGATATATTTGAGAATAAGAATACTATCTAGTAATAATCTCTTGCTATTTGAGAGGAATAGAGTTTATAGTTTATAGATTGTAATTATGATTTGGTTTTGGAGTTTAGAGTTTAATTCTTTTTGATTTTTATATAGATGTATTATACTACTATAATATAGACCTCTTTTCAAAGACGAATTCTTTAATTTCAGAATTTTTGAAATTGCTAGCCGAGCAAAAATTGATTGAAAATATCAAGAATATCTCAGTGAAAAGTAGAGCATGTATTCTATCTCTTCTCAAAAGTACTCTCAATACTTTTTAAAAGACCTCTTCTTATATTTTAAAAGAGATACTTATTTATATCTAAATTCTAATTCTAATTCTAATAACGGAGAAGGTTTAGTTTATATATGCCTCAGGCATTTTTACCTTTGCTTACAAATGCGGGTAAACTCATGACAACATTAAGGGAAAGCAAATGCGGGGTTACTTAAGGTTACTCGTATATTTTTAGATTTAACAACAAACTAATCACAATACAACACGACATCATTCAACTATCCATGGATCAACTAACAAGTATTCATACACACAAATTTGCAAGTTTTCTCCTGGAAAACATCTCTCGCGATCACCTATTATGTTTCTCCCAGAATGGATGTTCCATCGTGCTCATTATGTGAACGTCTAACTCTGCCATATCTGGAACCCTGCGAACCTTCTATCCTTCAAAATTTTCGTGAGAAGTTCTTCCCTGAACCATGCGCAACGTGCGACGCTGAAGAAGACCAGACTCTTCAGATTTGTGAAGTTTGCAGGCATCTTCGTCTACAACATTTGGTTTCTTGTAGTCAATCTTGGTTTGCGAGCGAACATCGCAGTCAATTCACCAAAGCTCTAGAGTACATTCAGCATGCAGGGAAGAAATTATATGGACATTGGTTAGGGAGCGATGATAGGGGTCGATTCCCCGAAACCACAGATAATATTCAACAGGTGGTGAGGAAATTGCATGAGGAACGACGGTCATCGAATATCGCGATCGGAATCGAATTAGGCACGTTTAATGAACTGAAAGGTCGGTCAAGCTGTAAGCTTTGCTCTGAAATTATGGAATTATTTGTTTTTCGATGGAAAAATAAAAAATTTACCGAGGATTTCTTAGACAAGTACGTTGTCACCACCACCAAAATTTCACGGAGAAAGGAACTTTCTATCCATGTGAAGCTTAAAGAAGGCAACCGGGTCCAGATCTACTCGACGATCAAATTCACGTCATCCCAATTGTCCCATGCAAGGCAAACAGATCCTGTCAGATCTATGTCTCGGGAGCCGATTAATTGGGATCAAATCGAGGGGTGGATTCAAACAGACGAATGCAGATTTAACCCCAAACCTGAACGCTCCCTAGTTCTTCCGAAACAGTTTCGTGTTATAGATGTCGAAAGAGACAAGGTGATTTTAGCACCTGATCACTGTGAATTTGTCGCGCTAAGTTATGTATGGGGTGAGACAACCAGCGACCTGATGCTGTGTACCAGCAACGTTCAGCAGCTTGCCAAAAAAATTTCTATCTCTAGAATGGATATTCCAGCAACTATCACAGATGACATGATAGCCTGTGCAATGATTGGCAAAAGATACCTTTAGGTCGATCGCCTCTGTATTGTGCAGGATGATAGTGATGACATTAAACTAGCTCAGATAGAGAGAATGGGTGATATCTACTCATCTGCATTCTTGACCATAGTAGGGGCGTGTGGGACCGACGCAAGAAGTGGCCTAGCAGGGATTGATGGCAAGCCCCGGACCAGAGCACCCTGGATCATCTCTTTGAACAAAATGATTTTAGTAGAAGATGTGGATCATCCATTCTATATACAGTCAGAGGCAATTCCAAAATAGCACACCAGAGGGTGGACTTTCCAGGAGCTTGTTCTCAGCTCTAGATTGCTTATATTCACAGACTTCGGAATATGTTACATGTGCAACCCAAAAGACAAACCCAAATATGGATGTCGGGGTGCCTTTGGATTTCCACCTAACGATTTTATGAGTCTGCAAAGACACGACTTTGAAGCCCGCAATATCTGCCGCTTGATAGAGAAATATTCAGAACGTCACTTGACCTGTGATGCAGATAGAATTCGAGCGTTCTCAGGAATTTTCAATCATCTTGGAATTCTGCATCAATCATGAATGCCTTGGAATGAATTCGATGACAATATCCTTTGGCGGCCGTGTTTGTGGAAGCAAACTAGTCGAACTCACAATTCTAGTGAAGCTGCATTATTCCCAACTTGGTCATGGAGTTCAGTCGCCGGACCTGTTAAATTTGAAATATATATCTACAATGTGCCGGTGACAACTTGGGCTCATTTCTCACCGGAAGAGGACAATTTTGACGTGTTGATTCCACCTAAAATGAAACGCTACGGATTGCATCAATTAGCTCATACAGAAAGATTCTTTGATCTTGAGCACTGGATCGATCTTCGTGATTGTAAGTGCAAAGGCTTGAATCAGGAATGCTGCGAAGACTGCTGCCTTGATAGTCACACTCGTGTACAAATGAACATGCAGAGAAGAACATCGACTTTTCTCAAAAAATTCTCCGATGAAGATACCAATGCAGCTCTTATACCTGGACGTTTGTTGCTATTAACCCAAACTGCTAGGTTACGTCTAGAATATTATGGCACACTTTCTGGCGAGCCTGAATCACCAACTGAGTTTTCTCTATGGAATGAAGATGAAAAATGGACTGGGATAATTCAGCTATTGGAATATGATGCGGAACTGGTCATGCAGATGTGTAAAGGTGGCAACAAGGCTTTCTTTGACTTTGCTGCTATTTCCATTTCCTATATATGGGATGGTTCGAGCCCGCTTTACAGATTTCTTGACAATACACAAGTGAGTAAGTATTTGTATCAAGCGCCTTTTACCCGAGAAGATGAAGTAAAGTTGTTTTCCGAGTCGAAGGAGAAATTCTTCCAAGAGATGAGATACAAAGGCTATTATAAACCACTTTGCGATCGATTAGTTGACGAACTACCGGTTTTGAATGTGATGCTACTACGTTGGCGTGGAAAGGTAGCTCAGAGAGTTGGTCTTGGGCAAGTTTGGGTAAAAAGATGGACTCAATCAAACCCGAAAATTAGTCCTATAGTTTTAGGATAAGATGTTCTCGAATATAATAGATTTTATTGACTAGTGAGAAGTTCGAGTGATTAGAGTAGACGCGATATTTCTTCTATTATTTGAAGGAGTATGAATTGAGATTAAATCTAATTTAGAATATATAATGGAATTCTCGTAGATATAAGAGAAATAATTATAATTAGGAGTAAGTATATAAGCTATATCTAAAGAGAAATAGAAGCGAGTATATATAGATAGCTATCTACTTAGAGTATTTTGACATTTTCTAAATTCCTAAGATTTTATAAGATAGTAACTATATATATCTAGATACTTTATATTCTAAGTTATAAAATTACAATAATAAAATGAGTTTCTCTCTTTGAATAATCATCTAGTTGATACATGAATAATCTCTACTTGTGACGATCCTGTCATATTAGTGGATCGGCTAGGTCCTTACATGATCCACAATCCTGTATATTACCACTTCCTTCCGAAGAGCTCTTCTAGCTCTTCACCTTAATATTCTAAATGATACAATCGTCACATTATACTAAGGTCATATAAATTTTTTAAGCTCTTGATTACTCCTGCAAAGCTTTCTATCGCTAGCCCGCTCGTCGAATGCTTACTACCTTCTACATCTACTTCCCCGATACAATTATTTGTATAATCTTTAATCAAGATCTCTCCCTAACTCCACTTTTGCAAATCTTATTCACCGACAAACTGATATTTTATTATTATATCATTTAGAATCTCCTTACTCTATCAATAATAGATTCGAAAATCCTGAACCTAACACACAAACTACAGGAATTGATCAATTCGAAACATCAATACACTCGCACAATTGATACCACAACAAAACAGCTTATTCAATTAATCTGCTAGACCAATCCATATTCCATTAACACTTTCACCACTCTATCAATATTATCAACAAGAAATGTATTTCAAGCGGATCTCCTTTCTTTCACTCATTTTATCTTTCAACAACTCTCGAAACCTTTTTTTATTAATTTCAAAACCTTTCTCGCAAAAGTAATAAAATTGCAAAACATATACTTCCATAAAGCGATTAATAATACTATGAATTATATTATAAGCAATATTGGAATTAGTATTAGAACTATAAATTAGATATTAATAATAATAAAGAATATAGATTATAATATAATTAGATTAAAAAACCATATTTAGAATACTATTAATATACTTGAGGGTAAGCTTTTCAGAAGGAGGGGGTAGTATAACGATCCTATCATATTAATAGATTGGCTAGATCCTCACATAATCTATAATCCTATATATTACCACTTCCTTCCAAAGAGCTCTTCTAGCTCTTCACCTTAGTATTCTAAATGATGCAATCGTTACATTACTATTCTCTATAAAGAAGCTAAAGAAATATCGTTATAAAAAGTATAAGTATATTCGAGCAATCTTATATATTAAAAGTTTAGATTTGAAGAACGTTTATATAATAATATAGTAAATACTTTATTAATACTAGAAGTATCTATTTAAGTAAAATATAATCCACCCCGCCTCAATATAACTGAAAGTAAACAACTTGTTCATTTACTATCTCGATATAATTATACTTATAAAGGGTTTAACTCATTTCTGAAGAGTAGAAATTGTTTAATGTTTACTAGAGTAATACATTAAGTTTCATATGTCGTGTGTTTGTGTTTGTTACTTGATCTTAGGTAGGTATTCATAAGTTCGCATCCCAGCCACCGGAGATTTTTGACAGGTACCTAGTAGATACCTAGTGAATCAATCCCGTTTTAATTCTTGGTTTCCCAGCCTCGTTTGTTGCGCGCTTTAAGGAAAGTTTACTTTCTTTTCTATTTCCACTACTACTACATACTCATTACCTGCATAATCTTTAAATGAAGCTTCTTTTCCATTTGTCAATTTAATTTGTTGCGAATTTGTATGCATCACTGAATTACCTTTGATCTACCCGATAGCTCTTAAGCTCTCGAAAGCTGATCCTAGTACTGATATCGATTAGGTACATAGTCTCCACTCTGCTATCAATTTTAAATCGGGAGCTGGCTGGATAAGCCATTCTCGAAATGCGTCTCTCGGCGAAAATTTTAGGTCTCCCGACTTCGATTTTGATATTGTTGATTTCGCAGACACATTCGGTACAGGCGGTTGATATTGATAATAATCGATTACTGGCTCTGTGGCCTCGCGATTGGATACATGTTAAAGACTGGGTTTATGGATCTGCGAGGAGGGAAAGAGATGAGGGATTGGAGGGGAGTGATGTAGTGGTTGCGAAAAGTCCAGTTGGGATACTGAAGATGAGTGAGGATGAAGGAGAAAAATTCTATATGGAATACTGGAGATTTGGAAATGAGGATACGCACATGAGTTTGGATGGAGAGGATAAGTTTCTGAGGGAGAGGGATTTGAAGGAGGAGGCTAGATCACTTGCGAATTCATCGATTCCTATTCTTTTTCGAGCGCCATTTGCCTTACATACGGAAAATCATTCAGGATTCTTGGATTATGAAGAAATTCGAGCTCGTAAAAAGGATTCGGCTGCCGCGTTGGCTATACTGGAGAGAAGAGATTTTAAATGTCCTACGGGAACATCGAATTGTTCATCAATCGGATATCCAAATAGTTGTTGCGCAACTGATGAAACATGCTTTCAAATCACAGATACTGGATTGGGACCTGTAGGATGTTGTCCTAGTGGAGGAAATTGCGGAGGAACGATTACGAATTGCGCTTCGCCAAATACACCTTGTGCGGCCGATGTAGGAGGAGGTTGTTGTATACCAAATTATGTATGCGCTTCAATTGGATGTGTGATCAATCCATCACTTGTGGTGGTTGTTACTACAACCAAAACTTTTACTGTTGTTTCGTCGACTCCAACGACTACGATTCAAATTACTACGATTACTAGTACAAAATCTTCAAGCGTATCTAGTACTGTCTCTCAAAGTTCGACTCCGATTAGTACAACTACATCTGCTTCGGGAGTCGTCCCTGTTCGTCCTACAGGTGATTATTCAACTACTACTACAACTACCTCTTCAACAATCACTCAAGATACATGTCCCACGGGATTTTATGCCTGCTCAGCACATTATCAAGGAGGATGTTGTAGAACGGGTAGAAATTGCGATACGACATCCTGTCCCGCAACATCATCAACGACAATAGTGAGTAGTGGAATTACAGTAGCGGTTCCGGTTGGATCGGCAGCATCGATCACTTCGGCAACAGGAGCGTGTGCAACGGGTTGGACGAGTTGCGCGGCGAGCTTGGGCGGTGATTGTTGTCCTAGTGGGTGGGCTTGTGGAACGGCTAGTTGTGAGAGTGTGAGTGTGCAGGCGACGGCTACGACTACGGAGGTGCTTCAGAAGGAGGTGCCGGGGAAGGGGGGAAGAGTTAGGGGGTCGAGAGGAGGAGTTCTAGGTTTGGGGGTGCTGGTTTGGTGGCTGGTTTTGTGAGGGAGGGATGTTGATTGAGGATGGATTTATGAGCTATGAATGATGATGATGACGATGGGTTATGAGCAATGAATATATGGAGCTTTATACTTATTCGAAGGGAGGTATAATATTGGTTTGTATACTGAAATACAATCTAGGCGTGCCCTGGCCCTCATCAATTGGTGAGCATATTACAACTGGTAATATCACGTGACCACGAAACCGAGCTCTCGAAGCCAGCTTTGCGGTAATCGACTTGTTTATAGTGGACTTGTCGATTTGTAGAGTATGAAAGTCTATATGAAGAATCGGGGCTCTATTACAATGTAGAACTTTGTGCGTAAGATCAATCTTTACTTTTATAGTATAGTTACGAGAATAGCAAACCTATTGATATTATACTACCTTATCAACCACCTACTTGGAGTTTAGTCTAAACTACCTCGAGATCAAAGCTCTCACTACTTCCATACAACCAAAAAGGCTGTCTGCGTAACAGAACAATCACGTATGTGTATTTCCAAGGCGGGGATATTCCTGCTTCGTGCGGTTGCCGCGTTGGAGAATCTTCGCAGGTTACGTACGCCTCTTATGTACCCGGCATCGATCAAATACGGTAGATCTCTACGACTGGAGGAAAGGCTGGAGGAAGGGTATAGAGGAGAAGGAGAACATGGCGGGTTATGGTTATGTAAAGGCCTTGGTACCTCAAGCTATAATGTCCGATGCCATAATGTCCGATCCCGAATGGAACGATACATCCGCACTCTTCTGGACTAATTACTACATATACGTATACCTTTACTGTATGAATTATATCGACCAAAAGCTTAATTCCACGTTCCCATATGAAAGTGATACGAATCATGCGGGGGGGGGGGTTTCCACAAGGGGGTTAATTTAATATTGTTCATATCTTCACCTCATCATGCACTGTTAATCAACTACAACTCTTTTCACCATATATTGAGACTTATTTCTCCCACCCAACCAGAATAGGTACATCAACCTAAATATGTCGACGCCAAGTAAATCGAGCCCTCTTTTGACTCTTCTAATTTGCAAAGCCTTGTCTGCATACGCCGATGGCTGCGTAATACCGGTAGGAACGTTTCTTGGCTGTCTATGAACAGTTTTTACCTACCAGGAGAGAACTCCAGGGCAACAACATTTGCATTATATAAGGAAGGCGATGCATGTTCTATCGATGTTAACTTCAGGACAGCTAACTACAGCTGAGTCTTTCCTTCCCGCTTGCATCTTCTACTTGCCTTCACTGTTCATTCTTGTCTACTTCTTTGAATCCGTCAAATCAACAAAAGGCTCTTACAATGCTTTTTCGGAATTTCTCTCTTGCTTTGTGCACCCTAGTGCAATCACTTCCCTCAAAGTCGCACGCAGTTAGGCAAGTCGACGATAGTACTACTAAATCGATGGCCATTGTCGACGCTGCCAACACTCTCCTAGGCCTTCTCACCGCGGAGCAGAATGCATCACTGGTGTACCCTTACGAAGCAGCCGGGAACGCAACCCCCGTTTACTTCGGATCGGCGACCACCGGCGGCA